AGGATGTTGAGCACTTTCTTAAGTGTCTCTCAGCCAATTTAACTTCCTCTATTGAGATTCTCTATTTAGTTCTGCAGCCCACTTTTTAATAGGGTCCTTTGGTGTTTTGGAGAGTAGCTTCTTGAGTTCTTGTAAATTTTGGAGATCAGCCCTCTGTCAGATGTGGGGTTAGTGAATATCTTTTCCCAATCTGTGGGTTGCCTTTTGTCTTGCTGACTATGTCCTTTGCCATACAGAAGCTACTCAGTTTCAGGAGGTCCCATTTATAGTTGTCAATCTCAGTGTTTGTGTTACTAGTGTTATGTTCAGGAAGTGGTCTCCTGTACCAATTCGTTCAAGGGTACCTCTCACTTTCTCTTCTAACAGGTTCAGTGTGGCTGGGTTTATGTTGAGGTCTTTGATCCATTTGGACTTAAGTTTTGTGCATGGTGATAGACGTAGATCTATCTGCAGTCTTCTACATGCCAATATCCAGTTATGCCATCACCGTTTGTTGAAGATGCTATCTTTTTTCCATTGTATAATTTTAGCTTCTTTGTCAAAAATGAGCTGTTCATAGGTTTGTGGATTAATCTCAGAGTGTTCAGTTCGATTCCATTGGTCTACCTGTCCATGTTTGTGCCAATACCAAGCTGTTTTCAGGATTATAGCTCTATAATAGAGCTTGAAGTCAGGAATGGTGATGCCTCCAGAGGTTGCTTTGTTGAGCAGGGTTGTCTTGGCTATCCTGGGTTTTTTGCTTTTCCATATAAGGTTGAGATTTTTTTCTTTCAATGTCTGTGAAGAATTGTGCTGGAATTTTGATAGGGATTGCATTGAGTCTGTAGATTGCTTTTGGCAGGATAGCCATTTTTACTACATTGATCCTACCTATCCAAGAGCATGGGAGATCTTTCCATTTTCTGGTGTCTTCTTTAATTTCTTTCTTTAAAGACTCAAAGTTCTTGTGATACAGGTCTTTTACTTGTTTGGTTAGCATTACCCCAAGGTATTTTATGTTGTGTGGCAATTGTAAAGGGTGATGTGTTTCTCTGATTTCTTTCTCAGCCCTTTTATCGTCTGTATATAGTAGGGCTACTGATTTTCTTGAGTTGATCTTGTATCCTGCCACTTTGCTGAAGGTGTTAATCAGCTGTAAGAGTTCCCTGGTAGAGTTCTTTGGGTCACTTATGTGAACTATCATATCATCTGCAAGTAGTGAAAGTTTGACCTCTTCCTTTCCGATTTGTATCCCCTTGATCTCCTTTTGTTGTCTTATTGTTCTAGCTAGAAATTTGAGTACGATATTGAAGATGTATGGGGAGAAGGGACAGCCTTGTCTTGTTCCTGATTTTAGAGGAATTTCCTTGAATTTCTCTCCATTCACTTTAATGTTGGCTGTTTGTTTGCTGTATATAGCTTTTATTATGTTTAGGTATCTTCCTGTTATCCCAGATCTCTCCAAGACCTTTATCATGAATGGGTGTTGGATTTTCTCAAAGGGTTTTCAGCATCTAGAGAGATGATGATGTGATTTTTTTGTTTATAAGCTTGTTTATATGGTGGATTACATTGATGGACTTTCGTATGTTGAACCATCCACAAATATTCTTAACTATTGAACCATTCTCCAGCCCTGTTATTTCTACTCAGATTGAAAATGAAGAAAAAAAACTGATTTAAGTGACATCCCTGAAGCCATACATCTGTTACAGACATGAAATCTGCTCATAACTCTCCCGTCCAATGCACAAGTTTAGCCCTTGCTCTGTAGTAAAAGATTAAGTGGCTCAGCACTGCCCAACTAAATAAACAGCAACTGAAAGCTGCACAGGGAAAACCCTGCAGAGATACCACCTTAGAGCACCCAGCATGGCCTCTGGAAGGGGAGAGGACAGAGGATGGAGAGGAAGGAAAGAGACATTTCTCAGGACCTGTGGGGTCAGGGTGTCAAAGGCTGGGGGTGGTGGTGACTATACTTTTACATGAACTGGTTACCATCACTCACTAGTTCTTTATCTTTTTAAACTGTAATTTATAAGGTGCCAATAAATACATAATAGCTTCAGAGAAACCTCTAAACCAAATCCTGTTAGTGGAGTTAGTGCTGTTAGTGGCCTGACCTTTTGTATGCCCCAGGATGATATCAGATGTAAGCTGTACAGGTGGGAAATATCTTTCAAGGGATGCTTTGTATCAATCAACTGTAATTGTCAATGGGAACATAGATCTGAATATATTTGCTATGAGCACACTGCAAAGCCTTGCATGTTTGGGCTCTGCTTGGCTCTTCCATTCTAAGCTGCCACACTCAAACCACAGTAGATGCTTTCTCAAACCGTCCTTTAAGCCAGCGGTTCTCAACCTGTGGGTAGCAAACCCTTTGGAGTTCTAGAACAACCCTTTTACTGGGCTTGCATATCAGATATCCCATAGATCAGGTAACAAATAATTTTATAGTTGGGAGTCACCACAACACGCAGAACTGTATTAAAGAGTCACAGCATCAGGAAGGTTGAGAACCACGGGTTTAAACAGAACAACAATTTAATGTTAAGAGTGTCAATTGTACCAGTGCCTAAACATAACTTCAAATAGAAACTGAGCTGCTAAATGTGAGAAGGAGATACTTAAATGCCTTAATCCTATCATACTGACAAATATTTACTGAGTACTTGAACATGCCCAGACAGGCTTCTGTTACATGACAAGTCCTTCCACTTGTGAAGTGGTAGAGCATAATGTTGTCATGTCAGTTAATGTGATGAATGACTAAACCCCAAGTTCTGGGGGCTTAGCACATTAAAGGCATCCTTCTGCCTCACATGAACTTGAAGACAGTGCATCATCACCAAAACACATCTGTTGTCAATAGCAGTCAACGGTGGCTAGGCTAGGTTGATTACACAGCATGGTTATGGCCCATGCCTGCTCTCCATCTCCCCGAGTCAAAGATTCCTTACCTGAACTTGCTAAATATGTACTGTCCCCAAAATACTGAAGTATTCCTATTTACCATGGGAGGATGGGTGAGGACATGCGACAGACATTAACTTGAGGCTCACAGGCGCCACAAAACCCAGGAGACAGACTCTCCAGAGAAACTGCTGTCCTGTAGAAAAGCCCAGTGGCGACTTCATAGAGAACCCAACCATCTGGGATGCATAGAGAGCCCCTGGGATGGGGACCAGATGTTGATTCCTGGGAGAGATAAGGATGTCATTCACCCAACAGAGCTACCTCTAATACAGAAAACCTTGAACTTGTTTGGACTAATTAGGAACAAGAGAAAAGATGCACCTTGGGGTGAGAACACTGGATAGAAAGTGTCACAATGCAGAAGATTGTTTGGGAGACAGTAAAGAATGGTATTGTGCCTTGATTTGTGCTCCTGCCAAACTATCTGTGATTGTCTGGAAGAAAATGGCCCCCAAAGGGAGTGGAACTATTAGGAGTAGGTGTGATCTTGTTGGAGGAAGTGTGATACTGAGAGGGTGGGCTTTGATGTCTCCTTTGCTCAAGGTACTCCCAGTTTGGCAGAGTTTATTTCTTGTTGCCTGAGGATGAAGATGTAGAGCTCTCAGCTTGTCAGTCAGCTGTATGCGTCTGCATACTGCATCTGCTTCCATAAACAATGATTCACCGATGAGAGTTGACATTGTTATCTCTGTATGCTGGGACTGTGGGTGATTTTCTCTGTACTTTTCTTTTGTGTTTGAGTTGTGTGTGTGTGTGTGTGTGTGTGTGTGTGTGTGTGTGTGTGTGTGTACAGGTTTGGGCTTTGGTAGTTACCATCTATATGAAAAATACTTTTTCTATAATTAATTCTTTCTTGTATAGGCACAGCCTTCTTTATCAGCAATAGGGTTATGCAGTAGAGATTTCTGGACGGGTCTTTTGCCCTAGAACTCCCACTATTTCTTGTTGCGGCACCTTTCTTGGAGGCCCATGGGTTTAGTTAATCTAAAGGATGCTTAAGTCCTGTGAGTCCAAGTCATTAAGATGGCCAAACAAACGCAACTAGCAGATAAACAGAAAACCAAAACCAAACAAACAAAATCTCCCACGTATAGCAACAAACGAGAGGAAAAATAACTGGGCTTGCTGTGTGCAGGCAGCACTGACAGCCACATCCACGGCACTGAGCAGCACCTGGTGTGCTTGAAAGGGACAACCTGTCATCTACACAGCAGAGCTCCGTACCAACTGAGTGACACCCAGCTAGGTGTGATGAATATTGTTTCCCATGTGGCCTAAAATCTATTTCAGACTGAGATTTATTTTAAATTCAAATGAAAGGCACTGGATTTTAATTATTCACCAGAAAAGTGACTTTAAATAAAAGACATTGAAATGTTTGACTGAGTGTAAAGAATCCTATTGTGCCTGTCACAGTTGTCTGCCTATGAGCCCCTCTGAGGGTTGTGTATAAGGGGGTATTCAGGTGTGTATAGAGACTTGGTTGCTTCCTAAGAAATACATTAAAAAAAAAAACCAAAGACAACAGCATCAGATTAACTAGCCCAGACTGGCCTTGAACTTGCTGTACTTTCCTTCCTGTGTGCTGGGATTGCAGGTATGCATGACTACTTCTGATAAAAGAGTGCCTGCATTAGGTCTGAAAATCTGACATCCCAAAAGTCAACTAGCTGAGGAGACAGGTTGCCTGCTGGCACTCTATCACCTCGGTATGGTGGGTGCTTTCATCCTGGAGAGTAGGGAGATAAAACACATAAGAACACAGCTCCATCACAGGCATAGTGTAGATTTGGGCAACAAGGATGCAGCACTTGGGCCACATTTCCCAAGCCTCTTTATACTGAAAGGAATCAGGGCTATGATCTCATATGGAAAAGCCTGGTATAAGGCTATACCTCTAACTGCAGGACACACTCACTTTGGCCTGACCAACTTTTCCTCACTGATCACCTTTGGCAAGGTCACGGCCAACAAGAATAACCCACAACAAATGCAAATTGACTTTACTCTTCCACGTATTTTTTAAGAACCACACTCCCAGACTCATTCACCCGTGCTTTATTACAAATTTCCGAATCCGGACAGGAGCTCTTGCACCTCGGTTTAGGATCCCAGTGATAGTCGGATGACACGGAAGTTTATGCCTACCCTCACAAATCAGAAAGTGCCACTAAAGTGTGAGCTAGGACTGGTGTCTGTGGAAACGATTCTGCTTCCAGCTGAGCAATGTTTCCTTCTCCCAACCAAGGTCTCTCTGTTCTGAACTTGCCGGTGGTGTATAGCAGGTATCTCTCTGTCCATCAGGCAGAGCGGCAGCAAGCAGGAGAAATTCACGAGGAAGGACATGCCGGCTGCAGGATTCACGCACTTTCAGTGCACCAGGAAGTCAACCCCAACCCAACAGTAACCTTATTTAGGAGAAAAATCTAGAGTACTCATTTGTTTAAAAAAATATCTCCGACTGTGGTGGAAGGATCTATATACAATTTACTGTATACAAAATACATCTTTCTTTGTGTTTAGCACACTTCACATATGGAAGTAAGTTAGGTACCCAGCTATGACATCCTAATAGCTGGCTCCAAGGTAAATGTATCCGGGAAAACAAGCCCCTCATATGTTTTAGTGTCTAAATAGAAATTCAGTGTAAAAAAAGTTAAAAACCAAGCAGGAGAGTCATTCTTGAATAGCAATGGGCACATGGGTTATAACCATGGCTGTTCATTGCTGTCAAAGTGCTACCCTAAGACCACTGGTGCCATGACGTCAGTGCCTGCCTGAGTCTCCATGTTTTATTCCTTCTCGACTTGAAAGTTCTAGAAGACTCAAAAACTATCCAAAGTCTGGGATCCTTTCCACTTTGACTGTCTTGATGCTGCAATGGAAATCAAACATAATTTTAGTAACTGGCTTTGAGTTAGAAAAGAAAGCAAGAATTCAGAATCCTGAAATGGCTCTGTCAGGAGCCCAAGAACCACAGAAAACAAACGCATTCAAGAGGCATGCTGCTGGTCTTGTGAGCATCATCTCAGCATTAGTTTAGAGCTTACTTTCTGACATAGACTAAGAAAATATATGTTCACAGAAGTGTTCTTTGTAAGATAATGGGTTTGCACATATAAAAATTTCTCAATTCCATAGTCCTCTATGTACATATGAATATCTAGCAGCTTATTATTTTTACTACATTAAAAGTACCTAATTTTATACTTTATGAATCCAGACATAATCACAGTGTATGTGTGTATATCTACACGCACACATTATCTAGTCACATAGTATAACTGGATTCTATGTAATTAAAAACATGTTATACAATCTATATACTTATCTAGATTTTCCACATAATAGGTTAGAATCACCTGTGTTTCTAAAAACTAAAAACAACAGTGCTATAAATTCATTTTTATGAAAGTGTTACACTTACCTCAAGCAATTTCAACTTCAGTTGTCAGTAACGAGATGGGCTAAAAACAAAAACCAAACAAAGAAGCTGTAACACTCTGGACCAGGCTGCAGGTGGTCCCATCACCTCTGCTCAGAAGCAGGAGAGGAATACAGGCTAAAGGCCAGAAAGTTTACCAAGGAAAAGACTGGCAGATAAAGCGGGGCATTCTAAGATCTGTCTGTACTGCATTTGAAAGGATGACGAGGGTGAGGAGAGACAAACTAAGACACATTCTATGGTTAAAAGGTGATGGTCACTAGAAACATGTGTGTGGTAAGAGTTACTAGGGACAGCAAACACCCGATGACAGCAGATGACTCTTGGCCACAGATGGCTTCCTGAAGCTTGACTCTAGGATCAGAAACCAGGGTAAGTTCTGCAAGAGTCTTGCTGGACTCAGTATGTATGAGCCCAGTTGTGTATGTGCCCGGTAAGTAGCTTTCTGATTACCAACCAGTACTAACCCCACCATCCCCTCACACTTCTTCAAGACCGGGACCTTGACCCCTATGAAGAATTTGTGCCAGGGGAGGTAGGAGAATGCCATCTGGAGGGTGTGAGTTCCAAGTTGGGCACACTCAGTTCATCACACAGCGGAAGAGCCTCCAGGCACCTTCTGTAAGACCAGCACAGATGGAGGAAGTGCAAGCGGGGACACTGTAGCCACACTTCCCTGTGATAAAGTGTGCTTTTCCTTTGGGTAGGAGAAATGCAGCAGGTGGGCTCTTCCCACTTCTTCCAAAGCATCTGCAAGCACACTGCACCAAGAATACCTTTTACAGCTCAATAACAGGGCCTATGTTTGAAGGCATATTTCATAGAAACAGCACAGTATATTGTCCCCATTGTGGTTTGTCAGCATTAGATGGGAAAACATCCAGCAGGATGTAGTGGCTAATGCCAACAATCTAGCTCCTGGGAAACTGCTGCAGGAGCATTGCCAGTCCGGGCTACAAAACTGGAACCTGTACAGAAAGGCTACAAATTATGCCAGCTTCCTGTGATGGCAACCTGATGGGACTTAGAATCACCATGGAAACCCACCTCTGGACAGGCCTGTGATGGATTTTCTAGATTAGGTTAGTTGAGGTGGTAAGACCCACCCTAAATGTGGGTGGCACCTTTCTACAGGCCAGGGGTCCTGAACTAAATAAAAAGGAGAAAGCAAGCCAAACACTAGCATTCACTCTGTCTTCTTCCTCCCCATGGATCCAATGTGACCAGCAGCCTCTGTCCTTACCACCATGACTGACTGTACCTCGCAGCTGTGAGACAAACCCTTCCTTCTGTAAGTTACTTGTGCCAGAAAGCTTGTTACAGAAAATGTACTTCCCCAGAGGAAAATGCCTCTTTTCGGTGCCGACTGTGTAGGAGGCAGAATTAGCCCTGTGAAGAACATCTCAGGCTTCAGTGCTAACAGGAAAGCCCATTGCTTTTTTCTATAGGCAAAAGCATGTGACCCACCACAGGCCATAAGATAGACTAACTAGAGATTGTGAGTGTCTGTGTATGTGTGTTGAATAGCAAAGATTAAGGGGGACTATATCAGATTTGTTTATGAAATTGAGTATGCCACTAACAATATGCTTTTTGTTTATGAAGACTTTTCCCTGCCCATCTTCCCATGAGGTAGTAGCTTTGTCAAACTGACCCTCACTTGGTTAAGTGTCAGTGAATGCCTTGACTGTAAGAACCTTCATGAAGCACTGGCCATTTTTCAGTCACATGTGTCTTTGTCCTGGTGGCAGGCAGCATGTCAATGCTTGGGAATCACATTGCCAAGTCCATGGGAAGGGAGCAAGCATCCAGGCTTATGTGTATAGGTCCTCTAGGGGTCTTCCCTGTAATCCATGGCTCTGTGGGTGTGGTGAGGGCAGGCTGAGTGGCTCTGGCTCAGCTCGTAGGTTAGTGAGGCCCCTTTGTTTATTATGTGTGACTCACCTTTAGACGTCATCAGAATCGTCCATGTAAAAAGAGCATCCACGCTATCATGAACTACAAACTCTTAAGTAGGGGATTGCACTATTTTAAGAGTGAACTTTGACCTCGAAGTTTCCAGGCAAGTAGAGTTCTCACTGGCACCTTTTACAGGGGTGGAAACTGGGTCTTAAGGATGTCATTAGCATTCCATGATGACACAGTGAAACAGCGAAGACTCACTCCAATCTAGACCCCAGAGTCTAACAGAGACTTGGGGTCTCGTTGAGGCTAAAATGACTGTGTCCATAGGGTTTCTGAAGTCTCATCCTTTCATCTTCAAAAAATAAACAGGTCTTCTAATCTGTGTCCTCCTCCTTGCCCAGAAGAACAGGTTACTCAGGAGCCCCACCAGGTCCCCACAGGACAATGCCACTCAAGAAAGAGGTTAGGTCTTGGTCTAAGCATCACTGAGAAAGCGGCTTCTGTGACACAGCAAGGACCCCGAAGTCTTTGGGACTTAACATTATTTAAAAAATTAGGACAAAGCAAACAACACCTTCAACCTGTCTTGTCAACCATCCCACGGAATGCAGAAAGTTCAAAGGAATCTAGACTGCCTGTAGAGAATGGAGGAACGACTTCAGGCACTAACACAGTCCTAGCTTCACCTCTCACAGGAGCGTGGAATACTGTGTCCTTCTCAAAGACAAACCTTCAAAGATATACCAAAAGCAGAATCATCACAAAATCACTCCAAAACATCAGGTATTTAACACTGCTGGGGTGTTCCATCTGTTTTGAATTTCAGCATTCACGGCCCCAGATGAACTGTTCATTGGATGGCATCTGTTTTTCCTGTACTCTATTGCAGTCACTTCCTTCTCCTTTGCAGTAAGTCAGATCCAAGCTGCAGCCGTGAACTGTGAAGTCTGGAGACCCACTGGCCCAGAGAACCAAGTGCTTACCTTGGAGGCAGTGTGCCTGTGGGACTGCGTGGGGCTCAGTTATTTCATCAGTATTTTTTTTTTTTTGGTTTTACGAGACAGGGTTTCTCTGTATTGTTTTGGAGGCTGTTGGCACAGCCCAACCTCGAACTCACAGTGATCCGCCTGCCTCTGCCTCCCGAGTGCTGGGATTAAAGGCGTGCGCCACCACTGCCCGGCCATCATTATGTTTAAAGAGGACATCTGGCCCTCTGTTACAAAGGCTCAGGCCAGGCATGGCAGGTGTGTCCAAACTTTGACCCTCAGTGCCCCAGGTTAGCTAAGAAGGCAACCCGATACAAAACTGTAAAGCTACTAAAAGTGTGATGAGATTTGTTTTGTTTTCATTTTGTAACCTTTGTAACTTGTGTGATTTTTGAGACGGTTTGTCTGTGTAACCCTGGCTGTCCTGGAACTCACTCTGTAGACTAGGCTGCCCTGGACTCAGAGATCCGCCTGGCTCTGCCTCCCGAGGGCTGGGATTAAAGGCATATGCTACCACTGCTCGGCAGATTTGTGTGATTCTTGGCTGTGAACTTTGTGACTGAGGATCATGTCAGTATCAAAAGCTGGACACGCTGGTGCTGCTGACTTTGACATCACTTCTAAATGGCAAAGTGTCCACAGCGGCATAGGAGTACCAAGAGGCTCCTGGTTCACAGAGACAATCTGGCAAGCTGAGCCTGCTCTTCCTACTGGAAACACTGTATGCCTACCAGAGCATTTACGCCCATGCTCCTTGCACTGCACGTTTGCACTCTCTTCTAAGATGGGCTTGTCGCCAGCTGCAGGGCAGTCAGCTGATGGCCCTTCCATTAGAGCCCCCATGGCACAGGTTTTTGCCACACTACTCCACGTAAGGCCTCTGCCTTCCTAGATGGATCAAATTCCACAGCTGAGGGAGGTGAGGTACGACGGCTACATCTGGCCCATGAGGGTGACTTCTAACAAGCCACACTTGCTTCAGAGCTCCCCGCTGCTGAGTTGAGGCTTCACCAGGTCCTTCTAGACTTCTGCTCCTTCCTTTCACAGTTATGGATCCTTGTAAACATTTTCACCCCAAATTCCATCTCAGCATCTCTGTTTTTAGACTCGGCCTGCCACACTCTCCCACCCAAACATGCCTCTCTCCAGCACCTTCCTAGCAGCCTCAATGGATTGTCCTGCTTGAGAGGAGGCATGTGGTGATGTCATGACCAGGCCAGTACCAGAAGTCAATTCTACACACTCAGCAAGTCCTCAGAGAACTGATGGCGGGTGTCATCGGTTGTAAAGCTCACCTCTGGCCTGGGAAATCTCAGGTAAGAAATGTGAGACTCCCCCCAAGTTCTCCATGCTGGGAAGAAGGAGGTCGGTACACAGTGCAGGTCAGCCATAGCACTGTCTCTGGGCTCTGGACCAAACTTGGCAAATTGAGACTTGGTAAACTGAGAGTTGTCTTGAAGCAACCTCACAACACAGCATTCTAGCATCCAAGTTCAGCACATTATCAGAAAAATAGATGCCCATCCCCCACTTCTGATTCTTACTGACCCTCTTATCAGAAAAATAGATGCCCATCCCCCACTTCTGATTCTTACTGACCCTCCTTTCTATCATCACCACTTCAGCTATGGCTTGAACATCTGAACAGCTCCAAAGTCATAAATAGAGATTCTGATCACCTGGATGAGGGTATCGTGAAGCTGGGGTGGAGGGACCACTTCGGGGAACTCATTAAGGCATGAAATTCACAGACCACCACAATGTGAAGACACAGTGAAGAGAGGAGATGTCATCTATGAGAAATCTGCCCTTACCAGAAATTGAATCTGGGGGGTACCTTGATTGCCCATTCCCTCACCAATAGAACCATGAGAAAGAAATTTCTGTTCTTTATAAGCCACACTGCTTATAGTGTTTTGCTAGAGAAGCCAGACATTAAAATGATACCTCTCCCCACATATGACAAATTGAAACAAGAGGTTCTTATTTTAAGCTTTTAGAATGTTCCAAGTTGTAAGTTGGAGAAAAAAACCCAACCTTTTTATCCTTCTAAAAGGATAAAATTTTCTAGTTTTCTTGTTCTGTTCCTCTTGATACCAGCATTGACTGGACATCTGCTATTTCTAGGCAACATTGCTGAAGATAAGGATGCCCCTGACTAGAAGGGAAAGTAAGTCCTCTGTGGCTGCATCTGGTAAGGAGTTCACACTGGCGACTTCCTCAATGTGGTATCCGTTCTTTTAAGGGGAAACGTCCCACATGGAGCATGAGGCTTCTATGACAGGGGGGTTGATTCCCTGTGCATCAATGTTTGACTCACTCCTTTGCAACTGGGGTGAAGGTAACACTGGCTGACCAGTGGCTTGGAGTCAACTATGTAAACATGGGAGGACCATAGAAAGACTGCCCCTAGTGGACATGTCTGCCTGAGATTTTAGAGGGGTGCAGCACAATTCACTTGGCAGGTAATACTCAGAGTTATCTGGGGGAATCCAGACCCACAGGAAACTCCAGGGAACACAAAAGTGCAAGGATTTTGGAGAAAAAGTAAGGAAAGAATGGAGGGAGGAAGAGAGGTAGAGAAGGTCTTAAAATCACTATTTCATGATTTGGGACAGAGGAGGGCTGGGAAAGTAAGTGCATGCATGTAACCTATCAGGAGCTAGAGTCACTCAGCATTTTAAGATGTCACTCAACTTAGAGGCTACCCCGTTGCTGAGGGATGTAGAAAATCGGCATCGGGGAACGCCGTGCAGAACACGACTACGGCTAGCCAGTGACAGTGACAGGGCATGCAGAGAGAAATGAAGGGCATCGAGAGCATGCAGAAGACTCAGGTCAGGTCTAGCAGAGACAAGAAGGCTCACCACAGGCTAGGCATGCACTTCAGGCTTTCTTTTACCTTGTCATAACAGGATTGTGAACACCATATAAATGATCTTTATGATAACCATTACTACCGTTTTCCAAACTGTAACAAAAATAAATACACCAGAAACACCAAGTTACCTCTAGGATGAAGTATTTACATTATAGACCACAAAGATGACGTAAAGGCTACAAAATGTGTGTCACAGATTGTCAAGTCTGCAAAGAAGGTTTGAGGATGTGTTACACTTAGGTCTTCCTTCTTTCAAAACCACAGATGGAAACTGTGGCTTTATAGAGCAATGCTTCTAATATATAAAATATTCATCCACTCAACAAGCAATCTGTAAGCACCTTCTATGCACCAGCCCTTTTTCTAAAAGGTGTCATGATTCACCTTTACCCGGACTTATCTATTGTTCTTATGTCATATAATTAATTTAACTAAAGGTCTGCGATGTAGAAACCTCCCCCATCCCATCTGTGAAGAAAGTTTTTTTTAAACAAAGGCTTACTTTTTCATGGGTACAGTTTCAACACTATAAAATATAAAAAAAGGGGGAGACAGGATTATTTACTTGTTTTATCACTATTAAGGACATGCTCTACCCCCCTCCCCGCCCCACAGTGTTTTCCCTGAGATGTGTGCTGACAGTTCAGATTCCAGAGATGATGAGAGAAGATGAGAAGTAAAGAAAGGAAGCATGCGTGTTCAGCAGACACAGAGCAATGGCAGGCAACAGAGCCGGGGAAAAGTAGTAACAACAGTTATCATAAAGTGTAATGCCATGTTCCCGAGACAGGCGAGCTGAAACAGAAGAACACCGGTTAAGAAAGCTGAGATTAAAGAAGAAGAAAAATGACAGAATCATAAGACTGGTTATAAGCAAACCAGAACAAGGCCACCACCACCACCACCACAAACAACAAAACCAACGGAAAAGGGACAATCTAGCATTTAGGCAGCAGTCAAGTTTGTTCCCACGAGAACTGGTCTTTGGTGGCTCTCCAAGGACAGTGCTGCATAGAAATGCCTGGCCCCCCAGAAACCCCACACTCACTCATCATATACGTCCTCTGAATCCATCCTGCGATAGTACTTGGCCAGCTTGACAGCGATGATTATAGCAGGAAGCAAGAGTACCGTGGCTTTTCCTATGCCGAACCAGAACAAATTCTGGGGATTAAAACAACAACAATCAGGAGACTTAAATGCCTGGGGATAGATAATAGGAAAGATTTGCTAGGGGAGAAGTCTTTTTGCAATATCTAAAGTTTTTATTTTGTTCTCAAAATCGATTGTGAACCTAGCAGGCACCAGCCACCACAGAGAGGGCAGCACGCTATTGTGACAGAGTTAATCTCTCTGAAGGATAAGCAGATCCTAGGATGGTGTTTATTTTGTAAAAAGAGGAACAGAAACATCTGGTGGTGAAACTAAGGTTCAGTCTAATACAGTCAAAAAGCATCTAATCACACACTACCTTGTATATCTTTGTAAGACTGGCTGTCTAACTAAGACAGCTGCCAGCCACCAGGCTCAAGTTCAAGTGCCTTCCATATAGTTCAATGTAAATATGGCTAGCTGACTTTTCTGTTTTTTTTTTTCACATCTGAATAGTTAAGATATTGGAATCTTCATCCCATAACAGTATAGCCAAGACGACATAAGTGACCTTCGGCATATACTAGCGTTCCCCAAAATGTACCGTCTTTAACCCCTGCAGCAGACAGACCACAGACTAAATTTAAGCATGCTTTCTCAAAAAGAAATGTTGACATAAAAATTATTGCCAATATTTATAAATCAGATCTCACACCTAATCCTGGACGATGCCTTCTTGAAAATGGCAGTGGGGGGTGGGGGAGTGGGAACTAGAGAAGGCCCCGCTAAAACTAAAGATATATGAAAGAGCCACAAGAAAACCTAATATTCTGTCATTCAAACTTACATTTAAAAAAATGGAAAGAGTTTGAATGGAAGTGCCGTGCATGGGTAAATGAAGCTACTCTAAAAACCCCTAAGTTAGTAATGTGGGCTGGTCAGAGAGTATCCTGAGACCTCCAACACAGTACCGGTAATTGCCATTGCTGTTGGGTACAAACCAGACTCAATCATTATCACTGCAGACACCACATACTCTGGTTAGAGGACATAGAGAAATCAGGCTGGAACTGGACTAGAATTTAACCTTCACAGTGCCAAAAGAGGCTGTGGCTCCTGTGTGCAGCGCTATCTGCTGACAGGGGAGATGTACCCATAGGTGCAGTACAGTGACAAGTCTGTGACGGGGTAACCAACCTATTATTTCTAGCTGCATTTGAAGCCTGCTCCACAAAAGATAATTCATATCTAGTACTGGAACCTTTGTCAAAACCTGTGCCTGGGAGTTTGTAGGACCTTATGAGGAAGCTACTGCTGTAGCTGTGCTAAAATGACATGATATGCTCATAAAATTACCTTCCAAATAATTACATTTATGCTCACTGGTTGGTGCCACTGTCAGTTTTGGTGAGAGAGCCTCTTTTTGCAGTGAACAACGGCAACTAAAGATGGTTATAATTGCTCGAAATCACAATATGACTTTTGAATGACCCTAAATGCTTCATCTATATCACCCCTACCAACGCTCACGAAACATCGGAAGGTGTATAAAGATTGGAAGAGTTCATGGTGTCGGGTGCTATGGAATACTGCTTTCCATGCATGACATGGCTGTGGCAGTCTTGAACAAAAAGCAGTTGTGGTTCCTTGCACAGGACCTGCACAAGGTTGGGCCCATCACCATCTTGCCATAGAGAGGGTAGGGATTACAAAGCCCACGCCTCCCTGGGAATGTATATGCAGGTAAAAAGATTCTTTGGTGGTATACCACTGGTAACGCTACCCTCACTCCTTTAACCCATATCCCTGTAAATAACCCTAATGAAAACCATTAGATCAAAAGAAACTCGTTATGAAAAAGAAGGTAGCCAGGTGGCACATGCCCTCTGATCCCAGCATTCAGGAGGCAGAGGCAGAGACAGATGAACTTCTGTGAGTTTGAGGCCAGCCTGGTCTACAAAGTGAGTTCCAGTACAGGCTCCAAAGTCACACAGAGAAACCCTGTCTCAAAAAAGCAAACCGAACCATAAATAAATGAAAGCTAAGGAAGGTGATCAGAGCGATGGGTAAGGCACAAAGGAAGTTAACAGTGGCACCTCTCTGGCCTCTAATCTTCAGAAAAGGAATAGTGTTGTCATAAAGCTGTGAAACTCTCAGAACAAGGTTGAAAATGTAGACCACTCCTAATAACACAATATGGGGGCGGGAGAGAGAACATACTTATTTAATTCTCTTTTTGAAGGATGAAGTTCTTACCAGAGGGTCAGCACCATAGCCACACAGAACACCATTAACGGCAGAGTCCATTGCAGTGGCCAAGGGCTTGCAGGATGTCATCTTCTCTGTGATCTGTGGGATGGACAACCAGGCAAATATTCACTGAGCCAGCCTCCCAAAACTTTATGCCGTAAGATGTGACCCCTAGCTGGACTGACAAGAGCATCTAGAGGTGTGTATCACAGGAGTGTCCTGGAAGCCAGGGAACTGAGAGCTTAAGAGCACTGAGGAGTTCTACAGCTAGTGCAACTCCATACGTTTATAGGGGACACTTAGTCCCCTTGAGCTACAGTTCCCGTTCTTTGCTGTCTGGAATATGAAGACCCATCCTGCAGAACTGCTCTGGGAATGGAGACGTGCCCAGCCTAGTGCTGCACTGTTCTGTTGTCTGGCAAAGGAGTAGGCACCAAATGAAGAAGCCATATAGCAAAGGTGAGCCAAGAGGTGAGGGAACCATGGAGGGGTGTTCTCCCTCATGGGAAGGCTGCCCCACATAGGTCCTGGTTCCCCTTATCCAAATCCTCTTGAAGCAGGCAAGTATAAAGAAATCTTGGCATTACAGGACTCCACTTGACTTGAGTTATACACTTTGTCTTTTCCTAACCATGAACTTAGCCACCTGAGACCCCCCCCCACTGCACCAAACTGAGCTGCACACACACCCTACCCCAAACACCAATGTGTTGGACCATAACAGCCTTTCTGTAAACTCTGTGTTCATTCAAAAATGTTCTGGAACATACCCCGGGATTTGAAGGAGTGGTGGAGAAATGTGATCAGACTTGGGGCGTGTGCACAATACAGCAAACTGTGTTCTGAGTGAACATCTAGGGAAAACCCCTACTTCTTACACCTCTGCATACTTGGGCATGTATATGATTAGAGTCAGACACACCATGGGCAAGGACTTGTGAAATGAATGAAGACCTTAAGCTTTCAGTTAAAACAACAACCACCCCCTCCCTGCCCCCAGCAACTAACTCTGCGCTCCGGACTCCATACAAGGAAGCCTTAACCAGTAACCAGCTCAACTTGAGCACCTTACCTCAGACAGCCTGCTGCTTCCTTGCAGCATGTTTTGTATTCTCACTGTACCTTTGAATCAAAGCCCAGCTATTTTGCTGTTCACTTCCTCAGTTCCTCATACAAGATGTGGAGGAGTTGGAACATCAGGTTCAGACAGACGCTTTCATTATTTCCAACTAAAATCACTGGATTCTAATATTCTTCAGATTTTATACTAGAAGATGACTCTCGGGAAAGGCGGTACCCTTTATGTTAATAAAAGACAAAGCTACTTACGGCGTACGAGACCCACTTCAGGTAACGCTCAAAGTAGCCTATTATTGTTCCTCCATACTTCATCGTTTCCTAGAAAGAAATCAAAGATTGAGACCATTATTAAAACAAGTAGAGTATAGCTACTTCCTGGAATGCTCACACACCACTTTATCTACACCCTTGCTTAAGAAGAGAAAACTTACTTCAATAACGATGGAAGAAACATTATTGATGAGGAAATTCTGAGCAGACTCCAAAGACACAATGATCTTGTTCACTTTCTCCTGGAAAATACAATAATTGGAAGAGGAACCAGGGACTTAATTAGACAATTTGCAAATCAGTTAGAGTCCTGGGGAGGTGGGACTGATTCCAGGATCCTCATTCCCTTTGCTCAAAATCTTCAGGCCCTGGATGCCCCTCTGTAAAATGGAGTGATACTGTCAAATAACCCTAGCAATCTGCTTGGGTACATCGGTATCTAGTACAACATGCCTTCTATGTCACTAACTGACATACAACACTGTGTGTGCTAGTAATAACAAAACCGAGGGTATGTGCATGTTTGTTATAGACATTAAAAACTACCCCTCCCCAAATATTTTCTTCCTTTCTTTTCTTTATTGGCAGTGGGGATAGAGCCCATGGCCTGTGTTTTCAGGACAAGATTCTACCACCAAGCTAAATCCCAATGCCTTCTACTCAGTATATAACTGTTTGAACCCATCCACAGACACAGAACTCTTGTTAATGGACAGTCAGGTCTCTAGTGATTTGTCCTATAGCCTATAACATCAAGACCTGGCTCAGCCCTCTGAGGACGGGAGGAGGAGATGAGCTCAGTGGGGACACCCTTTGCTTCTATATCCCCAACGGGGTCTTGATGGGAATCATTGGCTGCTTGCAAATTCACATGGCTGCCAAGCTCCCTTCAGAGGAGACAACTGACTTTCTTCGAGGAGGCCCAGCTAGTTAGTTTTTTCCCTCTAAAAGTCTCTAAAGCTGAAATTTGTTGCACTAAGCCCCAATCACTGAAAACCCAAGTAACAGCTTGCTACAAACGGGGAAAAGGTTCTTTCTGCAATGAGGTCTGGGGGAACACGGCCGGGCAGGTGCATCAGAACAGAGTTCTGTCTGTCTCATATCCCAGGGGCTAACATGCAACTGCAGGTTTCATCCTGGATGTGCAGAGGGAGCCAGAAAAGACCATGAGCTCACCAGTGCGTCTCCAGATCCCCTTAGCATGGGGCACACATGTATGACATAGGTTTGGGATCAGGGACACAGGCATTGCCCGGAGCAGAGCAAACCTACTGCTCTTTACTGGGACTGTGTCACAATACTTGGCTCACTGAAGAAAGTAGAAACACCTCCCCCCTTTTTAACTGTGGGGTTCACACCCCAAAGCTCTTATGAGCGGTTCTTCCAGTTCAGCAATGACACTTCTTTCTGATGAATCTGCTGCAGTTCTGTGTACAAGATGAACACAGCACAGCCCCGTTACTCAGTTGCTGTTCCAGGGCACGTCATCTTGTGGAGGAGTGATGAACCTTTCAAGGTGACTGGTGCCTTCCCTGGCATAACTTGCCATGTTTTGTAGGATGGTATATGATCAGCCATCTAATCTAGGAGTTTTGAATCTGGGATTCAATTAGCCGGTTTTGTTGTTTTGGTTTTTTTGAGACAGGGTTTCTCTGTGTAGCCTTGACCATCCTGGAACTTGCTTTGTAAACTAGGCTGGCCTCGAACTCTGAGATCTGCCTACCTCTGCTTCTGGAGTGGTGTGATTAAAGGCATGTACCACCATCACCTGCCTCAATTACCTTTTGTGGCAGAGAAGGGAGAGGTTTACTGAATGTGTAAAGATTTTTCTGATCGTTGCCCCCTAAATAATGCAAGGCAGCAGCTAGTTGCATCATGTTTCTATTGCATCAAGTGTTGTAAGTAATCTAGAGACGGTTTTGGTAGACCAGAAGGTATATCTGTGTTAGGCGGTACACCAGAAGGTATATCTGTGTTAGGCGGTACACCAGAAGGTATATCTGTGTTAGGCACACATACTGTGCAACTGATGTAAGGGACTTGAGTATTCATGGGGTGTCTTGGAAGCCATCCCCCCCCCACACACTGAGGCAGAACTGTACTTCTCTAGCTCATGATGATGACAATTGTTGTGGTCAAGTGGCTTGTTTCAGCTGATAGTATGTAAGACAAGCGGCTGTGTTCTGAGCACTGGCTTTAAGGCAACTGGTTTTCTTGCTCATGTCCTAAGCATGTGTCATTCTGTTATTGTTTGACAGCTGAAATGATCCCCCTCAAAGTCACAAACAGAATATCTGCTGGGGTGTCACCCTACAGTGGATTGAGTGAGAATGGCCTCCGTAGGTTCATATTTTTGAACACGTGGTCTCTAGCTGATGGAACAGTTTGCGAAGGATTAGGAGGTAGGGATTTGTTGGAGGAAATGTGTCACTGGTGGTGGGAGGGTTAAAAATCCCATGCCAAGCTGGGTGTTGGTGGCACACTCCTTTAATCCCAGCACTTGGGAGGCAGAGGCAGGCGGATCTGTGAGTTCGAGGCCAGCCTGGTCTACAGAGCGAGTTCCAGGACAGCCTCCAAAACAATACAGAGAAACCCTGTCTCAAAAAACCAAAAAAAAAAAAAGCCCATGCCATTGCCCAGTTATTGCTCTCTCTCTCTGTCCTCCCTCCCCTTGCCTTCCGCCCCCCCTCTCTCCCTCTCTCCTTCTGCATGCTTGTGGATCAGATGTAAGCTTTCATTCACTGCTCCAATACCATGCCTGTCCACTGCCATTCTCCCTGCCAGCTTTGACAAGGGTCTCCTCTTCCAGGCTGAGTCTTTTAGAGGGTGGGGGAGTAGAAAAGCCTGTGGCCTGCCTAGCAGTGATGGTAAGCATGTGTGGTTAAGTGCTGAGACTACCAGTGATAGGTAGCACCAGTTTTACAAAAGTATCCATGCTGAAGCTCACCTCCTACATAGCAAGACCCAGACTTGAAACTTGCATCGAGAGAAGCTCTTGGGAAAAGGGAAGCCATAGGAAAACCATCTGTGGTACTCAAAAATACTCTGAACACCTCCTTTTAACTTAAACTACTTATGAAAACCAATACCTCTGGAATTCTAGGTGTGATGTTTAATAACAAAATCTCGTGAAAGAAAATCAAAACCCTTACCGGCAACTTCTCACTCGTGCGCTCAAGTGTCCAGACACTTTGTTTTAAAGTATTCTGGTGGAGAAAAGAAAAAACTTCAAAATTCATATCCAAAGCATCAAGAACACAGGCCATATCTCAGGCCCTCTCCCAACACAAACATCAAATCTGACCAGTGAGTTGCCTGCATTCTAGAAAGTACAACAGACATGAGCAACAACATGGATCTTACACACCACTAGTGGATAATAAAACCAGTAGAAGAAAAGCAAGATCATGTTCAAAAGCTCTAAGGGCAGCATATCACACCCATATCATACAAGGACGAACACCCTCAAAATGGGTTTAGTCAGTGTGAAAAGTGTTATTAAGACAGAGCCTGCCTATCAAGTGTGGTTTACTTGAATGGTTTAGGTTAAGGTGACAAACTCTGTCTGTAAAACGCCATAATAGCTCAGGTTTTAGGAATCATATTATCCTCCTCCTCCTCCTCTTCTTCTTTTGTTTTGTTTTTTAATACAGGGTTTTTCTGTATAGCCTTGGCTGTCCGAGAACTCTCTCTGTATACTAGGTTGGCCTGAACTCACAGAGATTCACCTGCCTCTGCCTCTGCCTCTGCCCCAGAGTGCTGGGATTAAAGGTGTGTGCCACCACCTCCTGCATCATATTCTATTCTATTCTTATGGCCAAGAGTGGCTATATTTGCCACAGTTACAAAGGCTGTATCAAGTGTATTTTTTTTAAAACTGGCAACAGACTGGACTGGGTCAGGCTGTGGTTGATAAGGTTGATAAGGCCTGATTTGCCAGCCCCTGGTTTATATGATAGATCTGGGCACAGGCTGTTCTAGCTCAGAAGAGACCAGGGTGTTATGTCTACTTGAAGAAAAATATAGATGGAAAATGTAAATGACAGCAATAAGTGTGCTTATTATGTTAACAAGCTTGTTCTAGGTTGTGCATAAAGACAAGGAATTGTAAGAATTCAGTGCACAGCAAATCGGAATACAATGGGAGAACCCTGTGGAACTCTAGCAAACCAGAAAGTAAAAAGAAGACAGAGAGACTACCAGAGTAAAAACTAGATCCCGAAGTTTCTATGTCGGAGAGGATGGACTTTTGTACATCTGCAAACCTGAACCCCTGACACAGAGACACACTTTCCACACAGTTCTCCCTTTTAGAGCCACAAACAGGCCCAGGAACAAGCATAACATTGTTTCCCCTGGTTTCCGAGTCCCCAAATTCAGAAGTCATCCATTTCTGTGGATCAAGCGATAGCCATCCCTAAAGTCCCATCATTCTCTCTGCTTTTATTATTTGAAACTTTATTGTTTGATGAGGACAGTGGGAAGTCACTATGTTTTAGAGGGACAAAGAGGGATTTGAAACCAGATCTGTATGATTTCAAACTACAAACTACCTCTGTTACATTAGAAGCAAGGAACAGAAAGTTGGGGGTAGAATAGAAGAGAACGAGAGCAACAGCCATGGAGAGAGCCAACAGAGCTAAAGGAAACAGAAGTACTCACCCTCACCTTCACATATTTCTAAGCAGAGTGTGGAGAAAAAGAATGAGAGAATATGTCACCATGAGTCCAGAGCACACTCACACTGCCTGGGAGATCCACTAGTGGGAATGCAAGCTGTAGCAAGGTGCTGGAGACAGGTGTGGGGCGCGCCTCCCTGCTCACACTCTCAGGGAAGGAACAGAGGGACGCACAGTGGAGGAAGGCATGATTTAAGGTTGAGGTTTGTAAAGCCCAGCTACATATCTGAGGCTGAGTGGTTGGGCGCTCCAACACACAAGTATGTGTCTTCAGGCTATCTGTAAGTTAACTAGATAACTAGGTAGCTAGATTTCACTCAGGCCACCACGAAATGCCACAGGTTGTTGACTATTACCAGTGATTGCTGCAAAGGAATGACTTGTTGATGGTGAATGGTTCTAATATTCTGTACATCTGTGTTCAAGGCCTGTTTCAACTTTCCATCAGGCTACAAGGAAAAGAAGACAAAAGGATCAACACCATCCTTCTGGACCACAAAACATACTCTTTAACCATAAAGGACACCAGAAGATGCTACGTGACCACAGCACCCCCTCTTAGACAATTATGACACGGGTAAGCATCAGGCTGGTTTGGACACAGCATCTAGACAAACTGCTTCAAACTACAGAGCCATGAACTCATCAACATCTCACACTCAAAAGCACTTCCTGTAAACACCAGATGCTGTGGTTTCTTTTTCCTTGCCTTTAAATGATAGTCAGTCAAATTCTCTGTTTTACAGTTGAAAAAAATCAAGGCTCTACTGAAGACTGTTCAAGTTAATTCACACTTAAATGATGGTCAGTATATGAACTATAACAATTCTGTAAGGCAAATATAATTACTGCCTCCATTTTTTACAGATGGGGAAACTAAGGCACAGAGAGGAGTGAAATACTCTGCCTAAGCTACTAGCAGTAGGAAGAGACTGAGTTAGGACTTAAACCTCCTCTGGAGCCCAGCTTCCTCGTCACCATAGTTTGCTATTTCTTAGAGGGGATCAGTCTGGTTGTGCAGAAGGACCCATAGCAGGCAAGTCTATGGGCTATGATGGTGCCTCTGCTCCATCTCATATGCCTACTGGTGATAATGAAAGGCACAACTCGGTTAATACTCCTTCAGACTGCAAGAAAAATATGTGTGCACAAATGTATGTGTACGTCTGCAAGTGTGTTTGTCTGCATGCTGTGTATGCATTTGTGTATGTGTGTATGTCTGTGTGTGTGTGCCCATGCGTGCATCTCTGTGTGTATGAATGTGTATATCTGTGCATATGTATGTGTGCATGTATGCATGCATGTGTACATGGTGTGCATGTGTGTGTGTATTTTAGGTGGAGGTGATGATCTGTGAAAGCCATGCAGAGGTAAAGCTGTTTGGCCTTCTGAACCACAAAGGGACAGCTGCCAATGGGGCCTCTAATGCATTAGTGACGTGCTATGAGACAAGGTTAAGCCATGGTGACAGGGACCTCTTTCTGACTTCCTAAAAAATGATACCTATATTTGCCTTTTCAACTATTATAGCATTGAACAAGACTATTGAACTCACCAACTGGTTTGCCTTTTCTTCCAGAGAAGAGGCAAATGCCAGCAGATCCATTTTGGTAGGAGATTTCTCAGCCTACCAGGGAGGAAAAGAAATAAACATGTTACAGACATGGGCTTTTGAAACAAGAACACCATTGAAAAGTAGCATGTTGAACATGGGACCACAGCCATCAAGCAACAAAATAAGGCTAGAAACTCCTACACAGGTTATACCATTTGCGTTTCTATTTATACATATTATTTTACTCACCCATAAAATATGCTACAAATACACACCATAACATTCATAGATTTTAAAAAATGCTCAGTGAAAGAATCTAGAAGTGGAAGTCACAAAGTGTATGTCACTACTTATATGGATTATACAGAATAGAGCGTAGATGGGTGGCTTCCAGGAATTTGGGACTGGGTAACAACTGCTTATGGGTAAAGTGTTTCCGTGGGTGATGAAAATGTGCTGAACTGCAGGTGGTAACTATAAATATACAAATGACACTAAACTGCTGACCTTTAAAACACTGACCTTTATGCTATGGGAATCCACTATTGTGATAAACAAAAACAAAAGTACAATACTCTAATTTCTCCCCAAAGACCATACATCTTGCTCATACCTCCTTCAAGTACATGGAATAATTGATTGCATCTATCCCAGAATGTGCAAAGTCCTCCAGGTTTTTCTTTCCTGTTTTGTCCAACAATTCAATGTTATCAATATTCACATTCAGGTTTTCCAACTCCTTCTTTATTTTCCCAGTATGCTGTGTGAAACAAAAGCATCCTTTTATCTTCCAAGAAGACCACACACTCAATGTCATCAAGAGGAATGAGACTACACTGGAAAGAGATGCATATATTTCGATTTGAATTACTTTCCTCTTTGCCTCAAAAGTATTCTCTCTGGAGGTAGAATTTAAAGTGAAGTAAGATTGCGTCTCCAACTCTGAAGACCTTGGAGTGAAGAGGTTGCGTTACAAGAAAGGGATACATGAACTCCATCAGAAGACCAGACAGAGGATTCAGTGGAAGTGGAATGTAGAAAAGAAATGATGTCTAAGAGTCCACTCTTGACAAATGGGCCTAAGGACAGAGTAGGCTATTCCAGGTGTAGCAAGCACCTGGGTAGTGGGAAGGCATGTGAGATAGCTTCTGGTAGACAATGATCCTGGGAATGTGGTTGCTGATATTGGGTTGTCCTAACAGCCAATCATTAGTTTCCATAGCATACAGTGCCTGGCTACCATTCCAAACTGTTACATAACATGGTGCATGGAAACTAGCCCATAATATGATAGACAAATGAGTACAATAAATCTGCTTAGGACTTGGTCACAAGATGCTGTTTGGTTTATGGGAATATTTAGGAGACATGCTAGACACAAAATTCATATAAACTTTTCAAACAAAAGGTCTTTACATTGGAAAGCTATAGAGTCATCATGATCATGTTTCCCTTGGTTCCTCAACGACCTTCCATGATGGCAAAGTGAGCAAAGGGCCAGGACCTTCTCCCTTTGTCTTGTTTGAAATCTCTCTACTCATTTTGGAAGCTAAGAAGACCAAAGAAGGCTTCCCAGCAAGGAGGTTGAGGGCACATAAGCTAATTGCTCTCGAGACCTGGCACAGAAACGATTTCTTCAGTTCTGTGTGTTCTCGGATGGCTTTTCCTTGTCATCTCAAGACATGAAAGGGTATGGGTTGGACCACAGCTAAGATGGTCATTCTACTTTTGATTCTATCCTTTCTGCTTCTTGCCACAGGCAGGTAGGGCTCATATAACCCATTCAGGAGTTCTGGGGTGACAGTGCTTAAGTTGTAAGGAATGAGGACAGGGACCAAGCCTGGGACCTGACAGAACAGAGAAATTGGTCTTGAAGGACCAACATCCGTGGGAAGTGAGTAGGCTTTTGCTTGTAGAGCATGGTCACTAGATGAAATTAATGGTTTTCCTGAAAAGTTTCTTATGGGAGACCTCTTTGGAGGTCTTGCATAGTCTATTGGAAAAATTCAATGTGTGGAAAAAGGAAAGACAATTGGTTGGGGGTGAGAAGGTCTTTTGAGATTAATAAATAAAAGCGAACATTGCAAACAGCTTGCAGAATGAGTAGGTCCTAAGAAGGACGAGGGGAGAAGGTCTTAACCCACATCTTGCTCATTTGGTGTTAAGGAAGGCCATTACAGGAACTAAGGGGGACATGGTGGCTAGATAACTTTCCAATGTGAAACACTTTTATTTTAAGAATTTTGTACCCATAGAGATCTACTCGTTATCACATTAAAATGGTGCATTTTATCTTTTTGTGGACTTCATATCAGTCTTAACCAGGAGGAAGAAATGTACTTGTGTCTAATAATAAACAAGGTCAAGTTTATGATTGGTTCTAACAACTCACCTTCTCAATGTTGAAATTCTCGGTGATGTTGAAAACATTATCAAGATGAAAGGTAGCATATACACCCCGACCTCCTTTGCAATCCCTATGAGAAGAAGCAGAGAAAACATGACCCTATCAGCACATGGACTTTCACTTAGGATGAGGAGAAAGGTTAGTCACCCATCCGGCTAGTAGGACTGTTTCTCTACCTGACAAAGGTACATGATGGGAAGTGATTACAGTGTCAGTTACCTCAGGGTTAGAGGGAAGGGACTATCACACACTATTTAGAGACTTACTCTAAAAGATTAACTAAAGGCAAAGAAAATAATTTTTCTGTGAATGGTGTTAAACAACAGAGGGACTGAGGTCAGGTCCTTTCTGTGTCTTGTCAGGTGACCCAGAATCTGAGGTTTATTACACTCGAGAAGGGACTTGAAGATTTAAGGTTGTAAAAGGGTTAGAGAAATCTGTGTATCATTTAGTATCCTAGGGATGTTAGCAGTGGAAGTCAGGATGTTTTACCATTGTTCTTACATGTCAGGGGTTGAAAATGCATGTCAATGAACAATCATAGAATATCATTTTATCATGTTCTTATAGTGTGTCAAGCACTACTCCAAACACATGAATCTCACCGGCTCTAATAACTTCCAGGCAAGACGCCTATTGTCATGTACCATAATAAAGGGAGGGAAATTAAATTGTCTGGGGCCACAGGAACAAGACTGGATCCCAGGTGATCTGACTGCACAATGTGCAGGCTAGCCCTAAAGCTGTCTCACTATTGAATCCCAAGTAATCTGACTTCACAATAAACAGGCTGTCTCACTATTATGGTGTCTGTGGTATGTGCTCCTCTCTGAGTACTTAAAGGATTTTGCTAATGCATCTTATTGTTACTTTGGTCAGAGAATCTTAGGGAATACCTAGATAGAGGATTGAGAAATCACCAAGACTGGGTCATAAAGGCTTGAAAACATGACATTTGGAAAAGGTGCCTTTTTCCATGAAATTTGCTGAGACTAGAAAACAGTTTGGCTCTGAAATTAATTGCAAGTCTTACCATTAAGTTTTAAAAAAACACTGAAAGGAAATCCCCATTCTTAACAACAACACGATTTTGAGGAGGAACATGTCTGCTGCAAGAATTAATACCTGTAAACTTGTTCAAATGTCAGGTTAATGTTTGAGTTCTTGAGTATCAAGCCAGAGAGAAAGAATTGCCAGTCTTCTTTTAGCAAGTAGGGAGTGTCCAAAACCTGGAACAAACACAAAAGTTGTTTTAAAGACAGTTGCATACTAACTCATACAATAAAAAGTATTATTCAGTTAGACATTTTTGAGATATTTTCTGTTGTGATATTTCTTATTCATTTTAAACCCCAAGTCAGAAAATAGCACAATCCTAGTAAATGGATTAAGCACTGAATAGCATCAACCAGAACAACTGAAACTGTGTTTTTAGAGCAACTTGAACTCATTAAACATATTAAGAGAAAGTCATAAAGCAATAGACTCAGTCTCTTAGGACAAAGTGAACTAAAACTCATTTTCCAGTCAGGCGTGATGCCACAAGGCCTTAACCCCTTATTCTGGAGGTAAATGCAGGAAGATCTCTGTGAGCTCCATGACAGCCAGGGCTACCTTGTGAGACCCTGTTTTAAGAACAAAACAAAGAAAATAAACCCTCACTTTTCAACTGTCCCACACAAATTAAAGAGAAGTATATTAGTGTGTGGCTGGACATCTCCCTTCTAAAATGTTCAGGGACAAAAGTATTACAGATTTAGAATTTTTTCTGATTTTAAAATATTCACACACATATAAAGAGGCATTTAAGGGATGGGACCCAACACCAAACATAAAGTTCACCTATGCTTAATTATTTTCTTATTCACGTAAGTTGAAGGTAATGTTCTTCCACTGTTTTCTTAGGAAAAGAAATAGAGACGATGTGATCCATTGATGCTCTCAATTTAGTATCACTTGACTAATAACAGCTGAAGCTACAATTGGTTACCTGTGCAGTCATTCACTTGTTTTTAGTACAGGTGCCAGGTGGAAAGCATACACACAATAAAAGAGGGAAGTAGAAATGCATTCCAAACGTCAGACTCTGGGGCTGGAAAGATGGCTATGAGGATAAAGGGTTTGCTGTGCAAGCATGAGGACCCGAGTTCAGAACCCGGCACCCATGTAAAGGATGAATGTAGGTGTATTACCTCAGGACCAGAGAGCAGAGAAGGGCAGATCCTAGAGGCTCACTGGCTAGCCGGTATAGCTAACTAATGAGCTCCAGATTTGGTGAGCGACCCTGTCTCAAAAAGTGGAATAGAAAGACATCTGACATTGACCTCTGGCCTCCGTACATACATACACAATATTGTACACACACAGACACACACACATCAAAATCTATAGAAAAATACTAGGAAGTCACCTAAAAGCCAGGTATGTGAATCAAACCTCTATATTAATGAAGAAAGTGAAAGTGCTGTCTGAGTCCTGGAGTGAGTTAGTTTTTGGGGAAAGCAAATCTGAAATCCAATTCTTAACTTTGTCTCCTCAATATTGACCAGGTTAAGCCTACTACCTACCCGCGCGCGTGTGTGTGTGTGTGTGTGTGTGTGTGTGTGTGTGTGTGTGTGTGAGAGAGAGAGAGAGAGAGAGAGAGAGAGAGAGAGAGTATACTAGCTACTATAAGTAGAATTTCAGCTTGTTGAATGAGAGCAAAGTTCCTATGGTTTTTCACTTGATGCAACCCACCAGATACAGTGAGGCCCAAGGGTCTGCCCAAGCCTCCCTCATAAGAAAAAAAAAGTATTTACCTGCAATAATTTCTTGTTTGCATAAGGCTCACAGAGCAACTTTTCCACATTTGCACCAATGACAAAAGTAACAACCACAAGGATCATCAATATCCAGCAGAAAAGGAAGCTGAATCCAACCCCACTGGAAAAAAACACAAACAGCATGAGTTATTAGTTCTCATTAATTTCACCTACTCATCGTATGTAGAGCTGCAAGCTTCAGGGCTTTGTGGGTAAAAATGCATTGACCTTCCACAGTGAAGGGAGGCAGTGATTACCACCAATGGCAAATGCTTATAGAACCCTTACAATAATAGTGTTGGGTCTACCCATGGTCTTGCATAGTTCAGAGCTTTGACTCCGGGACCAGTTGAAAATCAATTCTTCCTACAAGGATGTAGATGGTAGAGAGACATTAAGTAGGAGGTGTGCTTGTGGAGATCCACACTGCCAACCTGACAGGCTCTAGAATCACTTGGGATGTAAGCCTCCAGGCACACCAGTGAGGTAGTGTCTTAATCTGCTTTCTATTGCTGTGATAAAACACCATGGTCAAGGCAACTTATAGAATGTTTTATTTGGTTTACAGTTCCAGAGGCATACGATTTGCCATGATGGAGAAGCGTGGCAGCAAGCAGTAGCCTAATGACTGTAGCAAAGGCTGAGGCCTTTCACTCTGAACCATAAGCAAGAGGGAGAGAGAGTGCACTGGGAATGGCATGGAGCTTCTGAAACCTCAAAGCCCACCCCCAGGGACATAGCTCCTCCAGCAAGGATACACCTCCTAAACCTTCCAAACAGCTCTACCAACGGGGGACCAGGTATTCAAACATCTGTGCCTGTGGGGATATTCTTAGGCATGCTTTCGAGGGGTTATCTGGATTAGGATAATTGGAATGGGACAGTCTAAGTGAAGGTAGCAGCATCCCATGGGCTGAGCTCCCCAACTGATCAGAAAGAGAAAACAAACCAAGCACTAGCATTCTTGACTTGCTGCCTGCGGGTGCAGCATAATCCTTCAGCTCCTGCTGCCATGACTTCCTCATCATGATGGGTGTACCCTCAAAATATACCCTTCCTCCCTTCAAGAGCTTATCAGGTACTGTGTCCCAGCAGTGAATAAAGTAACTCACACGGTACCACCGAGGTTCGGAAAGGGACCAGTGTGGCTCTGTCTCCACAGGAGCTGCAAATAATGCCATGGAGAGGCACAGTGGAGGGGGGCTAGGAGATCCCAAGAAGAAGAGTCATAAGGGGCTAAAGCACAGGAGGAAAACAACCAATTTCTTTCTGCAGAAAACACTTTTGGCAGAACGTGACAGATGAGTTAGATAGGTGTCAATATGGTGGGACACCACTGCGGATACCCATGACAATGGCCTATTGTTGACGGAGAGAAGTAAGATGAATGAAATATAACATGGAAGGCAATGTTGTATGAGAGGTAGATGGAGGAAGGGACCCAAGGGAGGGAGGTGGCAGAGACACTGATGCTCTGTGCAAGGACAGAAGATGAAATGGACCTGGGTCGTGGTACCAGTGATATGCTACAGCATGACGATGCAGAGGAGGAGTTCAATGGCTTTGGAACACATGCCTGGGATTAGAGGAGACATCAGTAATGTCTTAGAAATGGCCCTTTAACCCTGGGGATGGATTGCAGAGACAAACAGCCTGGGGCTGGCCTGGAGTACTCCATCCTTTGAAGAATGGGTGAGAGAAGGAAAGCCAGCGATGAAAGACAAGGCAGAGAGCAAGATAGAAACCATGTAGGTGTGAGGTTGTCGACTGGGAGTAAGGGCTTTACACTAGGGGGAGACACTTGCAGAAGAGAGTACTCAATTCTGCAAACACTGTTGTCTCCACTGTCCTGAAGAGCAGAAGTGGAATGATGGGTAATAAAGTAAATTGGAGTGGGCCTGGAAGCTACTGGGAGATGAAGAAACAGGAAGCAATCATGAAAGTAAGAGGGCTGGTGCATGGAGAAGAGTTCTGGAAGGACTGTTGGTGGTCATTCTTTCTGCTTAATAGGGGGAAAGGACAGAGTAGTTGCCAGTCTCTGTTTTCCAAATATGAGTACACATATCAGTGATGAGGACAGGTGTGTGCACATAAGTCAGCGGCATGGACAGGTGTGTACACATAGATCAGTGATGTGGACAGGTGTGTTCACATAGATCAGTGGTATGGACAGGTATATATACATAGATCAGTGGTGTGGACAGGTGCGCACACACAGATCAGTGGCATGGACATAGGCGAAGGGTAAGAAGGCACTGATGTGTTTTCAAAGGCTCAGGGGAGAGGAGGACCAGGAGGAAAAAGATAATGAAGAGTAACAAGGACCAAAATGGAAAACAAAAGCAAAAATGTCCTTACACACAAGGACCGGTGATGTAACTCAGCGGTAGAGCACTTGGCTAGCATGTGTAAAGACCCAGGTTTGACCCTAGTAACAACAAAGAAAACTAAGATGAAGAAAAGGAATATGCAACAAAGATTCCAATGGTTAGAAAGATCTAGAAAACAGATTTTCCAGCCCTGAGCTGTATGGTTATATTAATGCATGTCTAATTTTGTGACCTCTATTTTATCTTGGTAACGTTTTAGAAACCCACAGCAGTCAATGTAGTGCCAACTTCACAAGTGCTTACACTCTGGCCGACCTCATTCAGGCCTTACCACCTTAACACAAACTACAGAAGCACATCTCTGCTTACGCCGGGTCTTCTAGAGCTTGCTCTCCTTCTTCCGCAGCACCGCCTAAGTTGGGAGTCACTAAACAAAAGACCTAATAGTGTCTCTATGGCCTTTGCTAGAGTCTACTGAACCTTGGAAATGGCCCCAGCCATGCAGACATACTACTACATGATACCCATGGCTCTCTTGGAATTAACTTTTCTGAAGTCTACAGTAATGATCTGGACACTACTGTCAAGGGGTGAAGGGGAAAGTTTTATAATGGGCTTCAAACATACATATAAACAAAAAAAACAAAAGCTTGTTGCCATTGATGGGTGTCCTAATCTCTGAGGAAGTCTCACATTCTACGCTGTATGTCCACCATTGTGTCCCATGCAATCCCTACCATGCTCTGGGAACCCTCAGAAGACATTGAAAGGGCCACTAAACATTCATGAGGAACTGTTTGGGCCATCAGTTCTTGAAAGAGACCACACTCATGAGTGGACAATGTCACTATGTTCACAAGCATGTGGGGATGTGGTTGCAACAGAACTGAATGTAGGCTTTGCAGTTTGAAAGTAGAAGCCTTCTCATGGGTCTGAGGTGAACTGCACTGGGATCCAACCTTCCCGTTCCAAATGTCCAAGGATCTACCAGATGTCTCGAGGAGTAGAAGCGTTTGTAAGCACAGAAAGAATGTCAGCAAGCGGTCAAGCCTGCCATGTGCTGAGAAAAGGTTCAATGGTAAAGTAAAATAGGCATCCTCATCTGTGGCCCACCTGGAATGGACTCGACGGCATCTAACATGTTTAGCATTTCTCCTACCTCCATTCCAAATGTTCCCATGAGCCTTTGTCTCTGAAAAGACTCTGAACAGAAGTAGCTTGTAGCCTCCATCAGCCTGTGGACGGATTTTTTGCTTGCTTTCTTGCTTGTTGAAGCTAGACATCAGATTGTTGTTTTTGTATCCCTAAAATTTCATTTTTAACAATCTTATGAAGGGAGTAACTTTCCAAAGTAGTTTACTTCCCCATGAAGCAGTGAAACTGATGGAATATATATGCCACCAAAATGTTTGCCAAACAACCAGTTACTGAGGTATGAAAGTCTTAATATCAAACCAATCTACTTGTATCTGTGTTTATTTGAAAAAGGAAAAATAAATACATTTTTTCCTTGCTGGTGTAATTTGTTGTTGCTTTTTTTTCTTCACTGTTGAGAGGTACTTTCATTTGGAGATTCCCCCTCCCTCCATCTTCCCCCTCCTCCCTCCCTCTCTCCTTCCCTTTGGGTTGTTTCCAGAGTCTTGCACATGCTAGGCATGGGCTCTACCTTTAAGACACTTTTGAAGTCCTGGAGTAGAATATTTTAAATCTCTGTGTGTGAGAGAGCAAATAGGCTTCCATGTGGAGCACTTTCTCAGATCCTGGAAGTCCCTAGGTCATTCATTTGAGGCTATTTTCAGACACATTTACATTAATGTTAATAAAGGTCATGGTACTAGAGCCTGGATGGGAAAAGTATTTAGACACACTGATCACAAGAAGTCTGAGTATGATAGTGACCCCATGTTTAAAGAGGCAGACAAATGCATGGCGTCTGCTCTCCAGTCTTCCTCCCCACAGGGTAAAAGCATATGGCTGATGATTTGGTTCTCCATCTCCCAAAGGAGAAGTTTCTAACCCTTACTTCCCCTCGAGGCCCTAGGATAGTATAGTCTAGCACTATTTTCGATAAGAAAGCTTGAAGGCCACCTAATCTTCTTGGTGGTACATTCATTGCCACTGCACCTGTTTCCCAGTTTTAAGGTTCTGGTGCCATCATTGTGCTCACTGGTCTTGCTCGCTAAGCTTCGTCCCAATAACCTAGAGTAAAGATTCCCCAAATATGTGAACATTGATATGGATGTCTTCAAAGCAGGACTGCCACTCACACCTACCATCTTAGGTTCCCCACTGACAGGTACCTAATGCCTACTCTTGTCCCTAATTCAGGCTACTTGTCTAAGTATCGACGGTGCTGAGTTGGCAAATCTTGCTTTAAATCAAGTTCCTGGTGTTTCAAGTTAGCGGTACTGCTGGCGGTAGATAAATGGTGTCTCTGCTTCTCATGAGTGAGCGAATGAGTGAATGAGTGAATGAATGATGAAGGAATTAAGCAACTTTGAGATGATTTTCATGACACCTGCTTTAATAAAGAGCCCGCCATATGTAAGCAATGTGAACTCAGAGGCTCCAGGCTTCATAATACCACACCCAGCACCACCTCCTCCTTACATTTCCACCCTCAAGTGACAGAATGAAGCAAACACTCACGCCATGAGGAATATGCCTCCCGTGTTGGACACACAACCTCTTCTGGTTGGGGTGGCACGCTTGTCATAGCCATATACACCACACAGCAAGCCCAGGAAAAAGAAGGTCACAATGAGGGTCAGCAGGAAGCAGGCAATCAAGCCACCCAGCCACCTGGAGAAAAAGTACAGTGTTATGTACGACTTCTGGTTGTGAGCCTAGCCTTCCGTCATTATTTATCAAACAGGCAATGGCTATTTTGACTGAGCTTGGCTAAGGCTGGAGTAGCCTTATTCATCTAGCAACAGAGGGTAAGACTGCATGACTGCAAGCCCCCTTCCCCCTTTCCTCTTTAAAAAATTTTTAAATTTATTCTTCGTGTTTATCACACCATGCTTCCCAAGTCCACCCATTTCTCTCCCCCACCCCAAAATAAAACAAAAATAAAATTTAAGAGAAAAAAGGTGGGGGGGGGGAGAAAGAAAAAGAATAAAGGAACAAGGGGAAAATCTTGTCATGGAAACTGCAGTGTGACACAGTGAGTTACACACTAAACCCCTCCGTCCATATATTTTACATGCAGATGTTCATCGCAAAGAACCATTGGTCTGGTTTGAGGCCCTTGATCTCTGCTACATCGTGTTGCTGCTCTGTGTTGTGGTGATCCTGGAGCTCTGGGTCCATAGGACTCACCCTCCCCCAACCCCTCCCCATGCTCCAGCGGATTACAGATGGGGTGGATGTTGGGGTGGGCCAACACATAACCCTGATTCTAGGCTTGGGTACCTACAGGATTGGTCAGCCTGCCAGCTCTCGCCTGTCTTCAGCACCAGGATAGGCTCTCCAGCATTGCCCTGGCTAATTCACCCCTACCAGCAATGAGCAAAGGGCAGCTACCCCTGCTTCTTAACCTAACAAGGCAATACATTTTTATTTTCCTCTAGGCTTGGTAGCACCTTTTCTCTATGGAGTGGTGGACACCCACAAGTGTCACATGGGCTCATAGCAAGCCCAAGCTTCCTCAGGTGCCTGATCAAGACGTTCAAATCCTATCAAGTTTCCTAGTTTTTGAAGCTGTGGCTAGGGTCTGGGTAGATAACAGAGGAAAAAAAACAAGCTCCTCTCCCTTTCTCAAAATTCTTTTGGGATTGCAAGAATATTCTGGGATATCATGTTGCTTACCAAACCAGAAATACTCTGTGTGGCACATAGATATATGAGACATTTAGAGTTTTATGAGCATCCTAAATCAAATGTTACAGAATGCAAAGCTTAATTCTGTAATGGTCCTGGGAGATATTTTAGGATAATGGAGCTTCAATTATGTCTTTCTGGCATTCCCGGCATGCACACCAACTTTCTCTGCAGCCAAGGAGTATTCAAGGCTAAGAATGCTTTCCAACATTATAGACATTAAAAAACAGAAGTAACTGCTCCTCTTGGGGCCTCCTAACAGAAGAGGCCACTAAAGCTTCTCAGGCAATTAAAAACAATTTTGGTAATTACACTAATAGCTACCAGCAACCATTCAGTGGGATGTTTTATCCAGGTATCAGAGAGGCCAGATTAAATAAACTACGGAGCCTGTTCAGAGAACTTTCAGAGTTAATTAATCAAATGATTAGCTGAAATGTTTTTTTTAAACAAAAGCTTTATGGTTTCTGGGCAGGGGTGGAAAAAGAAAGGAAGGAAGGAAGGAAGGAAGGGAGGGAGGGAGGAAGGGAGGGAGGGAGGGAGGGAGGGAGGGAGGGAGGGAGGGAGGGAGGGAAGAGTAGCTGGAAGGAGAGGCAGACAAATGTACTATGCTGTCTCATTTGGGAAACTTAGTCTCTAAGGGACATTCTGTCTTATGTCTGTGCCAGTGTCTGCTGGGGTGTCCTTGTCCCACAGTGAAAATGTGGCAGGAGTCCCTGGATGATTACCCATTGTGCAGCCAGATGGTACGCCCTTCAAGGGGTCACTTCCCTCTCCTGAACCCCGAAGTCCTTGTCTAAATAACAGTCATGCACAGAACATAACTTAGCAGATCTGTGGAGCACTATTGGAAGGATTGTGGCTAAAATGCCTAGTGAGCTCACTCCTAAGGGTACGATTTCATCATTTGTCTTGTGCAAAAAGTAAGCCAGGTGAGAGAGGGCCTCTAACCTCTCCAGGGGCTAGTCCTAGGGCTGCACCCTTCAGAGAAGAAAATACACCTTATGCTTCATGGATGCCTAAGTTCTCCTCTCCATGCTCTGTCTGAAATGTCCATCATCACCCTCCAGGACCACACACCATGGCCTGCATTATTTAAGCCCTGGGTACAGCAGCTGCCTGCCAACAGCCTCCTCCCCCAGCTCAGATGCCAACCTAGTAGCCTCATAGCACAGCTAAAAACAAACCAGATTCCTTCAGAAAATAGTAGCTTCTGTGTATATGCTTCAGGAACCAATGAGCACACTTTCCAAATACCCTTCTTGATTATTTTTGAGCTTCCAAATCCTAATATACTCTTGGCTTACTAACAATACCAAAGATTCGAGAATCAATTAACAACAAAATCCTAAACTGCTGAACATTTGACAAGGATTTCCAGTTCCCCAAGTTTTGCTTTTAAATTAGGAGTGTTTTATGAATATGCATTTCTTGGAAGCCACACTAACCATGTCTGTATTGCTCCAGTTTTATTGTGTGCTGTCTTAGTGTGTGTGCTGGGTATATGGCACACGTATGAACATGCTTTTGTAGGGCAGAGGCTGATGTCAGCCATCTTCCTCCATCACTCCCCACCTTAGTTTTTGAATCAGGGTGTCTCACTGAAGCCAGAACCCATCCACTGGCTAGGTTGGGGGCCAGCAAGCTTAGGGCTCCACCAGTCCCCTCACCACCTCAGTATTGGGGTTGCAGATGCCCACTGCCCTTCTTTGCTGACTATTTTTTTAAACATGGGTGCTGGGGGATCCGAACTCAGGTCCTCACACTTGTACTGCAAGCAATTTACTGCAACACTGTTTCTCCAATCTCCTTTGACTTTCATAAATGAACATAGCTGGGATTGTTCACACAGGCCTCAGCCTCCTTATCCCGTTTGTTTTTTATCATGTTATTCTGGAAATTATGTCATGTTTTTGTACCCTTACAAAGCAAGCTTCACGCCTTTCATTTGACAGCTCCAAGGAGGCACTCACCAGTATGAGTCATATTCTTCCAGTTTAGGCAGCTCCTGCTGCAAGTAACTGTTGCTGTCATTAATGTAATTGGAGACGTCAAACAGCACCTCCTTAATAGGAATACTTTGGCTCACACTTGTAATGTTGGAGCTGATGGAATCCAAGGCCTTTTTGACATCTGAAAACAAAGAGACCCCAGTTACTCACTTTCAAACAGACAAGACAGAGTCCTTGTTTGGGGACAAAAAAAAGTCAACTAGGTGTTCCCCATGTTCTGTGTAGGCTTCTAACAAAGTATAACAAGCACCAATAGAGCTAAGACCATCTACAAGCAACAGCCAAACGACATAGTGAATGTAGTGAATGTAAGCACAGACTCAGCGAGATGGTACTGAAGTCAAGCAAGGCTCCCTCGTCTAGCATCTCACAAATAAATAAATAAATAAATAAATAAATAAATAAATAAATAAATAAATGTTGGGTGTCACATGACTAACATGCAATGTGTCTACCATGTGCCAAGTACTTCTGTCAATATTAATCTGCTTCCTTGCTGATGCAATGTCTGCTTTATTCCCACTTTACTGTGACCCAGAGGACCATGTAGTTAAGTTGTTCACCCATTGTTCTCTTTAGTAAAGTACTAGGTTTTTGCCGATGTTTGTTTTAAGGAAGTCCTGTTATGTGATTTGGGGGAATAGTAAGAATAGACATCCCCTTACTTAAGAAATGGCCGTAAAGAGACAGACATGTGTACACAGTAATTCCACCATGGGGAAGGCAGAAGCCAGTAGATTGCAGCCAATTTGAGGCCAGCTTAGTCCAAATAGGGATTTTTTTGGAGGGAGATGGGGAGAAGGAAGGAGAGGAAGGAAAGAAAAGGAAAGGGAGGAGGGAGGGAGGGGAGGAGAGGGGAGGCAAAGGGAAGGAAAGGAAGAAAATAGACTAAAAATAAAAGAAATGTATTACTTCTTGGAAAAGTGATCTCAGTTGATGTTCATTAAACAATTACTTGACTCGTCCAATTGGGGACTTATTGCAGAAGCCTATCTGTGTTTCCTACATCCAAGGACAGCACAATGCCTGTGATCATTTCCCACTCAGATCCACAATGGCTTTCCAGAGACCAATGTTCTAGAATGTGTTAGTCTGTCCCAACAGACTCTGATCTCAGTTCACACTGTGTCACCTGACCATTGTCTCACAGGTCCAGAGGTTAGGTTCTGTCCCAGATGTGCTAAGAACAAACACAATAGTTAAAAGTCCACTGATTCCCATGGGCAGAGAAACTGGTAAGCAATGGTAAACAGGACTCTCTCAAAGCGGATCTCAGAGTTCTGCTGGACTCTGGGCAAACGGTAGAGGCTGGAGGCTTGCTTCAAAATGTGATTGCACATGAAAATGGTGTGAATCTTTCTTCAAGTGTTTCTCACACGGATTTGAAGTCTAGAAACAGAGAGCATCTGAGCGCACCGTGTTTGGAGAACTATGTGGGGTCTCAATGCCTCCCCATATCACTCCTATGCAAACATTTCTGAGGAACTTCAAGGTAACATCGGCCACTTTGATGCAAGTGATCCAAGGAGCCAGTCTGCTTTGACCAGCTCCTTGGGGGCTTGTCTTGCCCTTCCCGCCACATGACGAGGCACAGCCTTGTCAGCTTTGGCAACTGACAATCAAATGTGTTCCTCAAGCTTCAATGTGAAGGATGCCTCCTTTCCCTAAGGCTGCTGCCTCCCCATTGTGACTGCTTTGCATATACTCAGTTGCCACACTGTGACCTGTGTGGGTGACTGACCGAAGGACAGTCAGTGGTCATACCTAAATGCTTCTCACATCCCCAACACTTGGAAGAACCTGGCACAAAGTAGGCACTTAAAAAAATGCAGGCTGAGACTCAAGGCCCAAAGTATGGGAGCTAAGGACATAAAGACAAACTAACTGGCATCCAGACTGGTAGCAGACACTTTTGTGGCCCTGGGATAATGCTGACTTCTGTTTAAGCTATGACAGCAGAAATGTTGGGATTAACTCATGCATGTAGCACACTTACAACAGAGGACTGCCCGTATGGGCAGAAGAGGTCCATAGTGGGGAAACAAGAAATCAAACATGGAGATTAGTAAGCAGGCAGCTATCAGACATCCAGCATGCAGTAAGTAGCCTTCAGTTGTTACCAAAGGAAAGAGTGAGCTTGCCTTTAGTATCTCATAATAAAGTTTTATTTGTTTTTTATGTGCATTGTGACTGAACCACATGCATGCAATGCCCAAAGAAGATGGAAAAGACAATCAGATGCCCTGGAATTGGAATTACAGATGGTTGTGAGCTGTCATGTGGTGATGAGAATTGAACCAGGGCCTCTGGAAGAAGAGTCAAAGCTCTTAACCACTCAGCCCTCTCTTTCTTCCTGAGAACATCTTTAAAGGAAGGCTATACTTTTACTCAGTTTCAGGCAAATAAACCCAAGGTCACCTCCTTCTTGGCATAAAGAGCTGCTTACATTGGGCAAATCTGCACATTGACTCCCAAACATCCTCACCCAAAAGCAGCACAGTAGTCTCAAATCTTAAGATGCCCTCAGCATAGACTTGTGTCCCTAAAACTCTAGCAGCCATAGAGCCCAAAACTAACACCTTAAGACCACAGACAGAAAGAAAATACTTCCCCAAAGACAAATTCTCCTGTAGAGTATTCCTAAAAATAGTAAGAATCATTTTAAGTTCATTTAGGAACTATAATAATCTGGGTGTGGGACTTTCCTCCCCAGGAAGATAATTAGAACATAACCTTCCAAATTGCAGCTGCTGTAATGTCTAGAAGAGCCCAGCAGATACCCTTGCTAGATAGCAACAAACATAAAATATGAGATTTGGTGGTTTTCTTTCCCTAATCTACATCATCACTGACTAAAGATAACATAATCAAAATGTCTGATATTCATTCCATAGGGTTTAGTGACAGACTTTTTTTTTAGATACCATAACTTTTGCATGTGTGTGTGTGTGTGTGTGTGTGTGTGTGTGTGTGTATCAGAGAGAGAAAGAGAGAGAGAGAGAGAGAGAGAGAGAGAGAGAGAGAATGGTAACCTTGCAGACTACTTTTTTTTAACTAGAACAAGCTATTTCTTTGTATTCACCAGTCACAGCATCAACAAAGAGAGAAACAGAATGACCTTCAAGTAAGACTCACCTGCGATGACAGCCAGGGTTTGGCTTCCTACCTTAGCAGGTATTTCATCAATCGACGTATACCCCTAAAAATATTTAAAAATGAATTGAAGGTCAGTTGGCTTATCCTCCATTTTATATCAAGTAGAGAAGTAAAATTAAAATGTACTATTTATCTTAAAATTGAAATTATCTTAACATAACCATCAAGGATCTAAAAGCAAAACCCTTTAGAAAAAAAGTGCTATTTTTTTTGTTTGGTGTGTGTGTGTGTGTGTGTGTGTGTGTGTGTGTGTGTGTGTGTGTGTGTTGGAGACTGAAGTCAGGTCTTGCATGTGCTAGGCAAGTGCTTTGTCACTGAGCTGTGTGCTGAGGTTGACACCATGTTCTTTTAACTCAATAAATCAGAGATCATCTTAAAGGCTTTCACCCTGGAAGAAACTCCTTTGGACCATAGTGAAGGACAAGTAATGTGAAACATGCAGAAAACCCAAAGAAAGTTAAGCTACTGTTTGCACCAAGGAAATAAGAACCACACCTCATTGGGAAAACGGAGATGTTGAGCACAGACATTCAAGGGGTAAATGTATACAATAAAATTAGTTTAGCTTTTTTAAGTAAAAGAACAGTGTATGAAGGATAAAAATACTAAGTCACTTGACAAAGGAGAGGGAGGAAGCAGTGAGTGCCAGGCTGAAGGCATAGTGTGGGGAAAAGCAATGAACTAGGAAGGAAATAAAACCAAACTGGTACAGCAGCTCCTGGGCACAGTGGAACAGCTCTCTGTATTGGGAATAAGGTGAGTGCTATTCTGCACCCACAACCAAACCCAAGAAAGCAGAGGTCAAGACAGTCACGGAATTTCGCTGTTTCCTATGTTCTTGATATGAAGACTGCCCTTGATATGAAGTCAGCTACCTTACTTGTTCCAAGGAGCATACCTTTGTGATGAGGCTCTCCAGATCAGTTTTGTAGATGTCATTAATAGTGTTGAGTTCTCCATCCACAGATGGGAGCTGAAGATTTATGAAACAAAGAATAAGAAAAGGTAATTATCCCCAAGTTAACGGTCACAAAAAAAGGAAGCCATCTGATATCCAGATCCCAGGGTGCTGACCTTGAAAGACCTGACTTCACTTTCTTTTGAAAATAGGATACAGTCTGGGGAAATCACACTCTGTACAGAGTGGCATCTTCGACCACTGATTTATTTTTATTGTTATTATTTTTTTAAACAGTGTTTCTCTGTGTAACAGTCCCAGCTGTCCTGGAACAGATTAGGCTGGCCTCAAACTCACAGAGATCCTCCTGCCTCTGCCTCCTGAGTGCTGGAACAAAGGCATGTCCCACCACCATAGCCTGGCCTATGAGTACTGATTTTTAAAGTTTATGGGTCCGCTGTACTCAGCTAATGAGGTACAGGTAAAGTATGTGTGACCGCATGACTGCTAGTGCTGAAGACTGTTGAACAAAGTTATAAACAAACTTGTCAAACTCACTTTCAAAAGTAAAAACTGGAGGTTAGGCTATAGTCTAAATGAGGTGAAACACATGTGCCTGGCTCTGGGTTGGATCCTCAACTTTAAACTACACTAAAAAGACAAATAAAAAGATTATAAAATAAACAAATATTATTAAAATTAAACAATGCATTTGGTGGGTTCCTTGGCTAGAAGTCTGGAACCATTTTCTAAGTCCAGAATTACACATGAATTCCAAGTATGATAGCTCTTGGCACCTGGGACCCACACCATGGTGCTCTCAACAGGATACAACATCGCTTCTGACACAACATTCCTTGGTGAATGTGGAGAACCCAAGCCTCCTCATGAGGTTACACATAAAACTAACTGAAGGCCACCCTACAAAACAAATGGAGTTTTCAAAAATGCCAGTGTTGAAACAGAAAACGACTGAGAGTCAACCCCCAGATTGAAGAGGGAAGAAAGACCCAACATTGCCGGCAACGCAAGATCCCATTTGTACGTGCACTTTCATTAAAAACTTGGCAACATCTGAGGAGAAAGTGTAGAGTAGACGGTGTCTTGTGTCTTAACTCGGATGTGCACATGATGATTATGCAAAGTTTAGAAACATTTTTAACTATTTAGGTATAACAGGAACAGGCCTGCAGCTTATCACAGACAGTGTTTGAGAAAATAACTCTATACACTTTATATAAACATTTGAAGAAACAGATCAAATTGAGAGGGATGTCCTAGTTGTGTTTCACTGTCAACTTGATAAAACAGGAGCCAAGTCATCTGAGAAGGAAACCTGAGCTGAGGAACTGTCCAGATCATATTGACCTGGAGCAAGTATTAGTAACTGATGTTGGAGGGCCCAGCCCACTGTGGGAGTCACCATTCCCTAAGAAGGTGGTCCTGGGCTGTATAAGAAAACTAGATAAATCCAAGGCTTTGAGAAAGCCAGCAAGTAATATTTTCCCATGGTTTCTGCTTCAAATTCCTGCTTGATTTCCTGTAAGGGTAAACAGGGACTTGGAAGTATACTGTTTCTCCTCCAAGTTGCTTTTGGTCAAAGTGTTATATGACAACAGTACAAAGGAAACTAGAACACTTTGGAGACAGTGTCCAAGTGTCAGTGACATATATTAACTACCTTCCCACATATGCAAAAAGCACATAGAGAAAAGGAAAAAGTGCCAGGTGTGGTGGTGTATGCCTATATGCCTATATCTAACTATTCCCAGAACTAGGAAGGGGAAGGCAGGAAGGTAAAGTTGCTTAACAAATTCCAGGCAACCGTGAGACTGTTGTGAAAGACAAACTGCAACAACAAAGCATATAATATCACCCTCTCTAAAGGCGCATTTCAAATAGCTGACATAGAACCGACCTTTAAAAGTTAACTTGACTCCAAAAGTAACTCAGTAGACATGCAGACAATTATAGTACATATGAAGCTTTATAACAGAAAAACTGACTCAAAATATGAAAGTGGAAAAGTATGTTAAAATAATACTTTATACAGAATATGAATGGTAAATGTGAAAATTAATATATGAAGTATAATTAATATCATAAGCATGTGCGTGCAGTGCATCTGGAGGCCAGAAGAGGGCGATAGAGCCCCTGGATCTGGAGTCACAGGCAGCTGTGAGCTACCTGACATGAGTGTTTGGAACTGACCTCAAGTCCTCTCCAGGAGCCGCAAGTGTTCTTACCTGCTGAGCCATTTAGCCACTTCCCCACATCACCATGTGTCTAGTTTTGAAAGCCATTTAAAGAAGAGCAAGTATTCTGGTCTTCTTTTTCTATCTAAATTTACCTTGATAAATCATCAGTTGGTACAGAACTGCTCAAATGTCCCCTCCCCCTTTAACTTCAGTTGCGTCCATTCCAGCATAGAGATTAGATGTCCTGAAAGGACTCACAGAGCACTGGGGAGGTGGGGGTTACTGTTTTCCAGCCCAGGCTACTGTGCTCCTGACAGGTGCACCCAGTCTTAGCCCTACTCGACCTCCTCTAGCTCCCCTGACTGTGGCAAGCTCACGCTCGCTCACCTGAGTTGAGTCGTGGTTGCTCCCCAGATTGCTTAGGCCTGATCTGATGCTATCACAGATCCTTCTGGCTGGGTCTGCAGCACAGTCGCTGCTGTTGAGTGAAGTCTCGACGCTGTTTCTCACAGAGGTGAGGTTGGCACTGAGCTGTGTGCTTCCATCATTTATGCTCTTCAGGCTGCTGCTCATGCTCTGCAGGGCATCCCTGGTCTGCTTGATGGCTGTAGGGACACAGCCAGAATCAGAGCGGGCCACACGAGTGCCTCAGAAAAACTGGAGATGAGTTCAGACAGCTGCAAAGGCAATGGGACAGGACACACAAAAGAAATAAGAGCTCCTCGCCAGCCCCTTCACCCAGCTCGGCTCCCCATGGCTCTCTCTTTTTATTAAGCAGTTGAGCACAAACCGAGGAATTTCATGGGGACACCTTGAGCACCACTATCTGGTCAACATAGCAGTTTAATCCACATAAGGATCAATCATATCCTTGTAAGAGCTATAACTAATAAGACAGTTAGCATGTACCAGTCAGGAATGGACAGGTGGTGAGGGGAAGGTATTGGGGGAGGGCATCACGTGAGAACAAAGTATAAAGACACAAACTGAGGAAAAAGCCATGCTGAAGGTTGGCAAGCTGGTTCATGGAGTAAAGGTGCCTGCTTCCAAGACTGACAAGCCCAGTTCAGTCCTTGAGGTCTACTTGACAGAAGAAGAGAACCAACTCTCTCCAGCTGTCCCCTGAAGTATAGCATCTGCCCCCCCACAAAATAAATACACACACACACACATTATGTATACAAATGAAGAAAAGAGAAAAAAGGCATAAGAAAGCCCATTATCTTTTACACCAGCTTTAGTTTTTTCCCAACAAAATTTTTAATTATTTCTTGAGAATTTCATGCAATGCATCCTGATTACACTCACTTCCCATTCCTCCCAGGCCCACTCTCCTATCCTTGAGCCCAGTACCCCCAAAGAAAAAATATATCAAGTCCAAGTTGTATTGCCCATATACTTATCTGAGCATGGTCAAATTCCTAGTGGCCAGTCCCTTAGGGATCTCTGAGTCCTTCCCCACTCCCATCCGTGCCCCCAGAAGCCATCAACTCTGAAGAGCTACACTTCAGCATCTTTATCATAATTTTTAAGGTCTCTTCAATGACTTTCTGTCTTAACTGTTTCTTCTCCCCCCCCCCACGTGAGGGTTACCACAGAAGCCTTCAATGCCTCTTATAATACTTTTTGTTGTTGTTGTTTTTCAAGACAGGGTTTCTTTGTTTGGCTTCGTAGACCAGGCTCGCCTCTGCCTCCTGAGGCACAGCCACTGCTCGGCATTGTGTCTTATTCTTAGTTATGAGTCTGTAGTTATCAATATCACTGCAAAAAAAGCTTCCTTTACCATAACAGCCAGTGGCAGCAGGGATCACCGACTTCCACATGGTTCTAGCACGGACCACGAACATCAAGACAGATTCTAGTGGCAGCACAAATCACACACACATTCACATGGTCTCTGGCGGCAACATTGACCATGGGTGTCAAGACGGCCTTCAGAGGCAGAACGGACCATGGAGGTCTTTGTGGGAGGCTTAATCCAGACAATGAATGGTTCGTTCTTCATCTCGGAGATCTTGTTGCACAGAGCCAGGGTGTTTGTGCAGCTGGGCAGCACTTGTGTGAGCTCCTAGGCTGCTTCCCAGCACCCTGCCTGTCCTAGTCCACAGCTACCTGCTCCTTTGTCCACCATAGCCGTGTTCCCATACCCACCCCCGCTGCTGCTGCATCTCCAGTTTCCCTTCTTCTGCCCCTCTCCTCTCTGCAATCTTTATCTCCCATTTCATGGTGCCACCTTTAAAAAGCGTCTTCCCCGAAGACCTGCCTTTTATTAGTTGTTCCAGAGATACTTCATCGTCTATAGACTCATACTCTTCCTCATCATCTCCCCTAGAAGCCTCTGAAGGTCTCTCAAGCTCCTTGGAGTGGCATTGAGAGTACCAGTGGCTGCTGCCACCTTGAGGCCAGAATCTAAATGAATCTTAGCCTTAATACTTTTAATTAATTTTGGTAAGTGATACCTATCCAGAAAATTGACCATTTCCTTTAAATTTTCCAATTTTGTGGAGTACAGATTTTCAAAATTTGACCTGATGATTCTCTGGATTTATTCACTGTCCATTCTGTCCCCCTTTTCATTTCTGATTTTGTTAATTTACATATTCTCTATGCCTTTTGTTTAGTTTGGATAAAGGCTATCTATCTTGTTGATTTTCTGGAAGAACCAACTCTTTGTTTGATTCTTTGTATTGTTTTCTTAGTTTCTACTTTATTGATTTCAGCCCTCAATTTGATTATTTCCTGCTGTCTACTCCTTCTTGGTGAGTTTGCTTATTTTTGTTCTAGAGCTTTCAGTTGTGCTGTTAAGTCTCTAGTGTGACTATTCTCCAGTTTCTTCATGTGAGTACGTAGTGTTATGAACTTTCCTCTTAGCACTGTTTTCAGAGTGTCCCATAGGTTTGGGTATGTTGTGCTTTCATTTTCATTGAATCCTAGGTTTTTAATTTCTTTTTATTAATTCTTCCTTGACCCAGGAGTGATGTAATTGAGTATTGTTCAATTTCTATGATTTTGTAGGCTTTCTGTAGTTTGTGTTGTTATTGAATTTTAACTTAAAACCATGGTGATCCTATAAGATGCAGGGGATTATTCCAATTTTTTGTATCTGCTGAGGTTTGCTTTGTTGCCAGGTATGTGGTCAATTTTAGAGAAGGTCCCATGCGGCACTGAGAAGAAGGTATATTATTTTGTGTTTGGATGGAATGTTCTATAGATGTCTGTTAAACCCAATTGAGTCATAACTTCTGTTAGTTCCTTTACTTCTTTGTTAAGTTTCTGTCTAGTCGTCCTGTCCAGTGGTGACAGTGGGGTGTTGAAGTCTTGTACTATAAGTGTGTGTGGGGGGGGGGGTTTTTATGTGTGATTTGTGTTTTAGTAATGTTTCTTGAATGAATCTGAATGTCTTTGTATTTGGGGCATAGATGTTCAGAATTGAAACTTCATTTTGATGGAATTTTCCTGTGACAAACATGAAATGATCTTCTTCATCTCTTTTGATGAACTTTAATTTGAAGTCTAATTTGTTAGATATTAGGATAGCTACACAAGCTACGTCCCCATTCCTCCATTTTGGAATGGGAATGTATATTCTGTGCCATTGTATACTGGAAATATGAAATTTGTAGTTGTTGTTAGGTTTGTTTGCTTGTTTGTTTTTCTTAATTTTATAGGGTCACAGTTAAGAGATTGCTTTGAGTCTCTGAAGACACTTTGGACTTTTGAACAATGTGTAGACTGTTCAAGACTATGGGTAAAAGGGCCAGCCGAAGAAACCCACTTTGACCCTGAAACAGAACCAGTGAAAGAAACCCACCCTGACCCCCAGACCAGAGCTAGTGAGAGAAATATACCCTGGCCCTGAAATTAGAGCCAAAAAGCTAAAAAGTGACAGTGAAAGAAATGCGCTTTGTTCCTGAAACCAGAGCCAAATCTGACTCTGACCAACTAAGCAGAAAACCAACCAATCCTTGAACAAGAAAACAAACTAATCCCTGAGAAGAAAAGCAACCAGTTGCTGAGCATGAGATCTAGCCAATCTGAGCTCACCTAAACCTCATTCAAGAGATTTACTGGAAGGGAAGAATCCAGGAGAGTGGCTGCCTCAGCCAGGGTAGAAGACAGCAGCAAACTAAACAGTCACAGGGCTTATACAGGGCTTCTTCAGGGCAGAGCCTTTCCAGGGAGAAGATTTTCAGGGTAGTAATTGGTCAGACTTCAGTCCCTTGAGCTCAGAGAGGGACCCTGGGTGGAGCAGAACAGAGTGGTGCAGAGCTGTTACACTAGGGAATCCTTGTAAGCTGTTATGCTTACTGTGACCTGTGGTATTTCTTGGCTCCTGAGCGTCAGAATACTTTTCTATATGAGCTGTAACAGTTACAATGGGGACTTTTGACGATGGACTAAATGCATTTTGCATTATGATATGACCAGAAGCTTGTGGGTGTCAAGGAGTGCAATGTGGTGGCTTAGATGAGCAATGTTCCCACAATTTCAGGCATTTGAAAACATGGTTGCTAGTTAGTGAATGGTGTTGTTTGGGGAAGCTCTGGAACTTATAGGATGTAAAGCCCTTCTGTAGGAAGTACATTACTGGGGTGGGTAGTGAGTGTTTATGGTCTTGTCCCTCGGTCTCTGTTTCCTGTGTAAAGATCTGATGCCATCACATGTTCCCTGCCATTGTCTCTGGTGGGAAACTGCAAGCCCAGATGATCTCTTCCTTAAGTTCCCTTTGGCCATGACATCTTATCATAGCAACAGAAGAGTAACTAATCTACTATTTCTATATAAATAAATGAAAAGCAACAAAGGCAAAGGGTTAGAATTAAGGTTAGAGCAGCAACTTAGGGCACAGTTTTAAATACAGTCAAGTTTAGAGCAAGATCTCAGCTTCCCTACTTCCTGTGACTCTAGATATAAATTTACTGAAAGACTCTGTGCCACTTTCTCATGTTAAAAAGCTGAGGCTACCAAGTTCACAGTAGACAAGAGATACGGAGATTAGAGCAATCAAACTGAAACTTCTCAGAGGCAATGTGTCTGGGTTTTCTTTTGTGAGCCCCATAACCAAGCACAGTCTTGTTATTTGCCATCAGGATTTGTTCAGCTGGAGCCCCTGCTGGAGCTAAGGAGGTAATAAAATCTCTTTTCTATAGTGGTTTAAAGCCACACAAACAAAAGACAAGAAATTTAAACTAGCAGCCTTTGTTCTTCTGGCCAATTAAGTCTTCCTGGACAGGCCTTTGGTCTGTAAGTCACAAAAAAGATGTGAGAACATCTGGGTGCAAATGAATAAGAAATAGGGTGAATTCCCTTTAAAAATTGGTGGCTTCACTCTTCTCTGGCAAGCAGGTAAATGTGAGTGGTAAAATTATATGTAAACTCAGACACACACACACACACACACACACACACACACACACAGAGTGGAGGGGGAAATAATGCTCTTTTGTCATAGGATCTCACTGACAGCAGCCTGAGGGTCATAGTTCTACATTTATCTATCACAACATCTGTACCAACTATGAATTAGGGAGCTGGGCCTCCTGGGACACCAAGAGTCTGTGGTTCTTAGCTGTGTTCTCACAGGCAGTAAGTACACCTCAGCTCTTACGAAATGTGAGCTAGCCTGACTAAGTGCTACCACTTAGCTTTAAAGATCGACACAGAACCTAGAGGAGTCATCCAGAGCTGGGCTGTACAACCCCTGGTCTATAATTCTATCCCCTTACCCAAGCAGAAAAATTCTGAAATCTGCCTCAATCTTTGCTCTTGACTTGTTCTAAATATATCTCAATAATATTTAAACTGTCAAAGAGCATATTGGAGGTCACCTTCGCCCCACTCCCACCTACCTAGACGCTGCCCTAGTCAGGTCTTTAAAAGTACATATATCCAGAAGGGACCTCAAGTTGGACTATAGAAGGATTTCTTGCAGCTAGGTAAAAGCCAGCATTCCTTGGCTTTTATCCTCAAACAGTAGTCATTTTCCTTACCTCTGACAGAAGGCATACATGGCTTTCCATTGGCATATACTTGTAGTGCTTATCAGCATATCAAGGTCCATGCTAACTTCCAGGCTCCCTCAGTCCCTAAGTACTTGTTGATTCCAGGATCCCCCATCTTGGCACTTGCTACTTTCTCCTCTACTCTCCCTAAAACTCCAGGCTTGCCCCATTCATGGGATTCCCTCTCCACAGCTACTCATCCTTCTTAAAACCCATGTGATTTCCCACATACATCTCCAGCCTGCTGTCCAGTCCATTGGCCATGTTCAGTCTAATTCCTTTTCTCTCTGCTCTGGATTGTTCCGGTTGCCTCTGGATATTTTCTATCTCTTACCCACAATAAAACCTTCCCCAATAACGGAGTGGCCATATTGACAGTTTCTTTACTGTGCTCCGTAGCACACAGAGGCTCTGTACAATGCTTACAACTAGAAAAGGAGAAAGAGCCTAGGGGCGGGGCAAACAGAGCAGAACACAAGAGGATAATGAGAGGCCACACATGCTGGCTTCTGGCCCCGAGTTTCACCTCACTGTCCTGTATTTTGATTTTAGCTATCTTGGTTCACAAAACAAAAGAAACAAGAAAGGCAAGTCATAAAATAAACTGATGGCCCAGGAATCACATGTTTATTTAGTCACTGTCTAGAGATATTCTGGGTTATAGGTACTAGTCTGCTAGGGCCCAGGAAGAACCCAGTATTATAAATGTATACTTCCTAAAACCGTCAAAGCATGCCATGCCCCTAAGATATGTATAGAGTTGTAACTCAGAATCATTTGACGATCCCAGGCTGCACGCATCTGAAGAAAGTGGAAAAGACCTTTCAGATTCTTAATTTCATCCAGTTAACATTTTTACCAGCTCAAAGCTCTTCTTGTGGACTGACCTGAAGCCTACATGTAATGTATTCATGCAACTGTTATGTTTCTGCATATGTTTCTGTTACATTTCCAAGGTGCATGCATTAGAGAACCTCAGACCTTAGCATAACTGACACCATGATGGAAATACCATTCAGGCCTTGGGACCCAGCAGGTAGGCTGCCAAAATAAAACAAAGACCTGATTCATCAATGTTCATAGTTCTGGAAAAGTCCCCCAAATGAATGTACCATCCTAGCTTTTTGGCCTCTGTAGTTCTGCTTCTGGCTGACAGTTCTTCCCAACTGAGGTGTCCGCCTAGGATGCTCACTCTGAGAAAAGCTTGGGACTGCATTCCTGTGCCGAACATCCAGTGTAGATGGCAGTCAGCTAATAAAGACGTTCTATTGGCATGAACCTATGTCCATGTGGTCTTCTCTACAGGATATCTTATAACACATGAAACACACAAGCTTGTTTTCCCTGTTACAGAAAACTGGTTTATGTTAAAGCACATCTCTGGCCACGGTGGAAGCTTAACAAACCGACTTGTTCAAGCTGGCTTTAAAAAGAGCTTTAATACTGTGTGAATCACAGAGAACAATACAACCCACATTGCCTTTCATCTAGAAAGCACCACATTCACTAAATATTGGCGTCTGGCAAGATGGTTCTGGGCGTGAGGGCTCGGACCAAGCCTGACAAGCTGAATTTGATCTCTGGGACCCATGTGGTAAAAAACAGAGGACCAACTCCCGCAGGCTGTCCTCTGGCTTTCACATGAGTGCCATGGCATGTGCCAGTGTGTTCACGCAGCACAACAAATAAATATAAGTCTGCAAAGAAATTACAACATTACTTAAGACACTAAAAACAGTTGAGACCATTGCGCAGGCAGACTGTGTGCATAGCAGCCACAGTGTCTCATGACTTCCCTTTGCTTTGTACAGTCTTTGTAAGGCTGGGATGATCTTGGATGACAGTGTACTGACCCAGGGGTCTGGGGTGCAGGATGCCTAGAATCCAGCTACAGTCATTCTAGCTTGGTCCATATCAGGTCTCCCCGATGGGCTCGCTATTTGGCCTTGCTGTGAATGGTACAGCAACACCCTACTTCCAAGCTCTCCCCCATGTTCTTGATGCCAGCCACTAAGACTGGTCTGGGTATGTAGGCTTTTGTTCGACAACACTATCACTTCCCACACATTTGATGGCTACAGACTGAACAGTCCCTTAAATTATAATGAAGAATTCCTAACCCACAGTAGGATCATAGGAGGAACTGCAGAGTGCTAATTAAGATTAAATGGGGGGTAGGGGCTAGAGAAACAGCTCAATGGCTAAGAGCACTTCCTGCTGTTGCAATAATCCTGTGTTTGGTTCCCAGCACCTATATGAAGGCTTTCTATAACTCCAGATGCAGGAGATCTAATGTCCTCTTCTGGTCTCCCCATACATTAAGCACACATATGGGGCGAAAACATACCTGCAGGAAAGAACACTCATACAGAAAAAATTTTAATTAAAAAAAATGAAAAAAAAAAAACGGTCTTCAGGATCGGGTACGGGTTGGAACCAACTGCTATCTTTCCTAGCGGAGGAAGAGCAGCAGGCACAGTAGCTCCAGGTAAAGGTGCTTGCCGCGCAAGCCTGACAAACTAAGTTCCGTCCCTGGGACTCTCTTAAAGGTGAAAGGAGAGAGTCACCCCACAGTTGTCTTCTGACTGCCACGAGTGTGCCAGGCGGCTCACGTGCCCCTGCACTCACAGATGCCCCCCACAAGCTGTCTTCCGACTGCAGCCATGCCCGGTGGTTCACACACACCTGACTCATGCGCATACGCTCACATATACAAGAACAATCAATAATTTACTAAAGAAAAGGAAGGGAAACTAGAGACCCTTGTTCGCCACAGGAAATAGCATTGGAATGAGACAAGCAGAGGTAAGCAAAGGAGAATGGGAGTGAGGGAAGTGGGGAGGGAGGGAGGGGGGAGGGAGGGAAGGAGGGAGGAGGCTGGCCTGTCTTTGAGGTTTACATCACTGAGTTTCCTAGCCTGGAAAGGAAATGGTTGGTGATGGGCAGAATTGATATCTGAAGATTTCAAAAGGCCACTCCCTTCTAATTAATTAATTAGTTAATTGATTAATTTTGATATTTTTTTTTGAGCGAGGGTCCTATATAACTGTCTACATAGCTCAGGCTGGCCTTGAAGCCATGGTTCTCTTACCTTTCTAATGCCAGGATTGTAGATGTGCTATCATGCCCATCACATCAACAGATATTTTCTTTGAAACTCCAGATAGTAAATGAGGTCATAAAAGCTTTGTGGGCCTGGTCTCCGCAACAACCCACCAAACTTTGCCACCTGGGCACAAAACCAGCCATAGGCCATGTGTAAGCATGTGAACATAACTTTGGGTTATTATTACCTCAAATGATGTTTTTTTTCCATTATTCTAGGCTTTTAATATCACAGGCTTTTAAAAACATCATACATACCAGAACAGCTTGTGTCTTTGCCAGACCTGTTTGCATGGCCAGACTGTAATTCTTTTCCCGACGCACTCTTGAGGAAATCCAAGTCAATGTGAGTGGCCCTGGGAAGCCAGGAATCTAGGATGGGCTATTGTTGCTCACTTTTGCCACTGTGCTTACCTGTTGCCATGGTCTTAATTGAATCGAGAACAGGGATTGCTTTGGGTTTTAATTGGTCTTTTATTCTGCCTCCCAGCAAGGAATCAATGCCTGGAGTAAAGGAAAGGGGTTGATGAGGGCAAGCCAACTTCACCTTCAGCTCTCAGGCATTCTCCTCACACCCCAGGAGACTACGCCCGGAAGACATCTTCCCTCTTCCTGTCCTTATGTCCCATCCTCCACTCCAGACCATTCACTGTGAACCCCAATGTGAGGAGATGCCATTGCCTGCATCAAAATCCTCAAACTCACATTCCAGTGGGAAATTATTCTCATGGATGCTTAGATTTTGTGGGAAGAACACAGCGTTTATCATCTTGAGCTGTGTTACCTAACCACTGTCTCCAGCTCACGCACACTAGGGTTTTCTTCACCGTGGTACCAGTGACTTGTGGGACCAGCTATTGCTTTTCTGTGGTGGACTGTCCTGCGCACTGTGATAAGCAGCATCCTCGGCCTTGGACAACAGACAGCAGTTCTCTGCCCTGCCCCAATCCTGCCAACCACATGTTCCTCCAAATGCCACTTTTTGTTGAGAACAGTTAACCAAGCTTCATGTGAACTCTGATGAGATGTGGTCCATCAAGCAACAGGGCCAGGCTATCTCTAAAGTCCATTTAACAGGGCACTTAGCAGGGTCACATATGCTTTTCTGTGTGAAAAATGACATCACGAAAGTAAAGGTTTTGCAATAAGCAAAGTAAAAATTTAAAACAGATAGCCAAGCCCCTCTGCTTGTGAAAATGAGCTTAAATGTTGGGTGACTTTTTCATTTTAGATGTATTTATCAGTCAAGGTGTATAAATGTTTTGCCTGCATGTATTTCTGTGCACCATGTGTATACCTGGTGTTGATGGAGGTAAACAGAAGGCTTTTGGTGTCTTAGTACTGGAGTTATGGGTGGTTGTAAGTTTGCAGGTGGGTGCTGGGAGGGGAATGTAGGTCTTCTACAAGGGCACCAAGTTCTACTAACCACTAAGCCATCTCTCCAGCCCCTAAAATTTGGGGTTTAATAATACAATGACAAGAGGCAAACACCCAGTAGCTCTAGAGCTCTTCCTGCCTTCCTCCTACCTTCAACTGCTCCATATTTTGCCCATGCTATATAGGAGGTAGCTAAGGCATCTTTATAGGAGGTAGCTAAAGCATCTTTATAGGAGGTAGCTAAGGCATCTTTCAAACCATAACAAACAAAAACCACAAACTAACTTTCGATGCTACTTACCATCCAGGTCTGAAAATGCCTTGTCCTTGGTGGTGTTGTACTGAACCAATATATAGTCAATTTGCTGGAAAAGAAAATTACATGGCACCTGTCCTTTGAGGTGCAAAGTCATAATACAAAGGCATCAGAGATTTAAGATACAAGAAGTTAACCCCCTCAGAGCACTTTGAAAAAGAAATAGCTAGGAGGTGACATACACACTCATCTTTTCAAGTACTGTGATCACCACACTCCAAAACTTTACTAGCCTGGTACCAACTTACCTACTGTGTTTGTTTATTATAAATTTACGAGCTGTGGTCATTTCTTATGTGTCCTGGTTCAGCAGACTGGCTAAGTGGATCATGGTGGGGACTGTATGGATGATCAAAGGTGGTTCCCCTCTCTCTAGCCTCAGGATCACCAGCAGCCAGAGACTGATAGACATCTAATGTACAGCTCCTAGAAGCTGAAGTTCAAAACTAGCCTAGATCATGTCCACTGTGTCCCCCTGTCATAAACAGGTCAAGAGAGAGCCCAGAGTCAAGGGGACGGATGTACCCCCTAGCACAAAGAGTTTAACACACAAGTTCATGGTATTGATTACTCCTCACTGGTTTTCTAAAGGAACATTTATCTACTTATTTATGGTGGCGCAGTAGACCGGCTTCCAACTCTCTCAGCAAGGCCAGGTTAATATTCTTCTAGTGTTGCCAACCTTCCCAGTGAACACATATCAGTGTTTAAATTTTCATGTCTTTAGTTACTAGAGGTAAAACATCTTGCTCTCTTTGGGGCAGTTATAGTCCATCTGTCAGTTGCCTATTCAATTATCTGTATAATTTCTGTCTGTTAGTGGTCTTCATATATGTTCACACAGGAATTTACCACCTTTATATGATGATGAAGGCAATCCTAATTTTTGTGAGCCACTGTTACTGCTTTTGGTATTTGGGGAGTGGGAGGGAGGTTTCCTGTGGAATCTTCAGGATGTTACAGGAAAAACATTTTGAGTTTTTGTTTACAAAGTGTGGAAAAAGTAATCCCACCTGTACTAGACTGTAAAGCCACATAGAGTTAAATTCTTTACTCGCCACCCTCCCAAAAGCCTCCATAAGGGTTTTTGTTGCTGCTGTTTGGTTTTTGGCTTGTTTTTGTTTTTGTTTTGCTTGCAGCTATGTGATACACTTCATGTGCAGTATTTTGAGGAAAGAATCAACCTAGAAAGCCACTTCTTGTTCAAGGACCCAAGGGTGCTGGTGGACTCTCCTCAATGCTGGCACCCAAGAGCATCACACAGTTAAGTCAGCTCCTGCTCAGATACCTTTCAAACCACATTCTGAGCAGGCAACACATCAACACACTCCTAGGAAACAGACAGAAAGAGTTCCTTCCTGTCATTGCCCTTTAATCATTCTGTTTGCCTTCTTCCAAAATGACCTGTGTTTGTGAGTGTGTGTGTGTGTGTGTGAGTGACAGAGAGAGAAAGAGGGGGGGGAGTTCTTCCAAAGGAGACTGACACATCTACACAAATAATAAACAGGTATGTATAAAGCTAAAGAATTCCATCATGATAATAACTACGAAATGATAACAGGTGAACTTACCACCACTACCACCAATAACAAAACCCAAACACTCACAGTGAGACTGTTAATATTATTAGATATATTTATATGTGCTGTGATTTTGTTAGACCTAAATAAAATAATTAAAGACATATAACCCTTGACCCCACCCTATGGAAACTGTTTCAGTACTTTTGAGAATGGTTCTCTGGCCACGTTTCTTCATCTGCAGCATTAAAGGGCAACCCCTGTCTGTCTGGGTTCACTGGCTTCTTCAAAGGTTTGACTGACCAACTTGATATGTCAGACTTTGTTGACTCCTCAAGGGAGGCCTTACCCTCTCTGGAGTGAAGTTAGAATGGGAGGAAGCCGAGTCAGGAGGGGGAGGATGGGAGGGAGGAAGAACTGAGGTTGGTATGCAAAATAAAAAAATTAAATAAAAGACACAGAGAGAGCTATTTCAATACCCGATAGTAAAACATGACCAGTTAGTTAAAAAAAAAAAAAAAGGTTTGGCTGAGCTTCCAAACACAAACACACAGGGACATGCGGGTCTCAGGTGTTTACCTTTGGGGTTTCGTTCAGGAGCACTTGCAAGTCTCTGTAATTGCTGTCTGCCAGTTTCTGGGTCCTTTTGATCCAGGTCCTTACCTGGTGATTGGCCACAAAGCCATACATGACGCCCAGGCTGCAGGGAAAGGAAGAGTAGAGTGTTGGCCAAGATTCGCTGGCCTTGGCACAACAGGGGCTGCTTAACAGTCACCTCTCTGGCCCCTCCCACTACAGCCTACCCACTAAGGCCACCAGCAGCACACCATCAAAGCAGGACTAAGATCTCTCTGAAGACAGGCCTCCACGTAGGATCAAGTACTGCATTCTGACTCTCATAAATGAACAATATCCACAACAAATGCCGGGAGGAAAGTCGCAAAGGTTTCAGGCAGTGTCAGGGACATGCGTATATACTCTGTGTGTATGTCCTCTTGCGCCCACACAAACACCCCCGTGCGCCCGAACTACCCCCAGAGTAGAGGGAATTAGTAGATGGCAGGAGGGGTTGGGACGTTCTGATGATTTCTCATTTGGTTGTTAGTTCCTGTGTTGTCCAGATTGAAAAGAAACAAGGTATTTCAGGAAGGCCTAGGTTCATTTCCTGTTGCTGTGATAAAATATGCCCACCGTCATTTCCTTCCCACACAATACTAGACCGTGCCCAGGTGCCAATCTCGAAACAAACCATGACACAGAAAGCGCGGCACACCCACTGTTCATTTATATAAAGCACGAAACCAAACCAAAGGATGGTGCTAAAAACCACCATGGTTATTGTGGGGAAGGCCACGGGCTCTTTAATGGTTGAATATTCTTCATGGGAATTCTTGAATATGTACTTATGAAAGGGATACTTTCCTCTATGTAAAATACACATCATAAGGAACGCCAAAATCCTTCAGGATTTTTCCCGAAAAACTGCATTGTGTGAAATTCAAACCTTCTTTCTCACTCATCTCAAAAGACCGAATTTAAACATATTAAAAGCTCTTAGGCATCTTTTTTCCACCATCAATCCCTTTATTTAAATTATACTAGTTAGTTCATTTGTTGAAGCAGAGCCTCTGAACATTAAAAGTTTTAAATTTAGGAGTAAATTCCAGACTTGATGGTGTACCACTGTAATTCTGAAACTTGAAAGAGCAAGGTGAGAGACCTCAGAGTTCCAGGCTAACCTCAACTGTCCAGGTACCTTCTCTCAAAATTAAAACAAAGCAAAGCAACCCCCGCCCCACAACCTGCAGGGGAGATAAAACACAAAATACTTTTAGATATGACCACTAGAGGGCAGCAAGGAGTTAACAACACAAACACACGCACACAAAACTGTCTCCCACACAGATCCAAAGGACCAAAATTGTTACTTTGTAACTATGAAGCCTACATGGTGATAGGTTTTAAGAACAATTTTGCAAGCAACAGGCAAACCTCGGAAAAACAAAATGCAGTTGCCTATCAGGTTGTCAAGCAATTTCTCTGGTTTTATGCACACACAGATTACGTTGAAAAATCCCATGTTGCCCAAACCCCCGAGACTCAGGACAGGTATTCCACTATTGCTGCATGGGGCTGGAGAGATGGGTCAACATTTAAGAACACTTACTGCTCTTCCAAAGAACCCAAGTTCAGTTCCTAGCATCCACATTGGGCTGCTGACAGCAAACTGAAATTTCAGCGCCAGGACATCCAATGGCTTTGAAATTAACTCACACTAGCATGCACATACCTACACACACACACACACACACACACACACACACACACACACACGTGCGCACACACATACACAATCACACATACCTGCACATAGACACACATGGACATATAATGAAAAACTGTTTTAAACAAGTAAAAAGTACTGATGCATCTGGAGGAGTGATTCGTTTGCTTGTGGCATCTCTTTCTCAAAACATGTCTTCCTGTGACAGTGAGGCACTGGTCCTTTAGGACTCCCAAAGTGGCCCTAACATGCCTATGTGGTAGATGACTCTGAGCAGTCCTTTACTCTGCCTGGTGAGCTGCAGTAGAATGAGTAGGTGAGGGGGAACTCATGACTTGGCACTGGATCCACACACACTAGCTCTGCAAAGACCCTTCTCTCTGAGCCTCAGCAGCCATCACAAGGGTCAGTTTGGACCCGATGATATAAACCGGTTGGAGTTCAGCCCAGACTGTATAAGCTCTGTGCAAGCTGCAAAGGATAGGGACTAGGGAACGTCCACAAATTCCCTGGGACTTGTTTATTTTAAGCTTGAGTTCTTTCTTAGGGCAATCTCAGAAAATGAAGACAGAATGTTCTGTACCATTTGGACAGCATAATGATCCACTACTTTCTGTCCCAAACTTACATTTGTATACAAAGCAGACAGTGTGCCTCAGTGATAATCATTATTGACTAGCATGACACCCTCATCCTAAGTTAGGCCAAGTGACGCAATGATTTTAGAATTATGTGCAGAAGCAAGACACAAATACATGCACAAACAAAAAATGTGACAAGTCTTTATTTCACTAAGCCAGGTTCAAACATCTATGCCATAAGTCAGGATCACTCCTAAGTAGACCTGATACCTACCCTGGGGGAATCTCCCTTTCTCTCCAAACCATCTCAGCCATTGGCTCTACTGGGCTGCAGACCCATTTGGTCACAGAAAATGTCCACTACTTCCTCTTGGCCCTTTCTCCTCCATACACCATGGAAAATTCCCACAGGGACCTCTGACGGCATGTGTCACTGTGCCTGCTGAAGTTTGTCTTTTTTTCTACCTAAGTTCAATGTCCTTAAGATGAGTCGGTACCTACCTCCCTGTCAGCTTTGCCTAATAGGGTCTGTCCCTGACCGGGGTGTCTGAAGGAAGTGGTTGGAGACTGGGCTTTTTGCATGTTCTAAACTTGATCTGCTCACACACTATCTGTGCAAGCAGAGTGTGGAAGCAGAAACTGTCTTTGTATTTTATTACATAAAGGTTTCACTCACAAGATCATCAGTCAGATCAATGAACTGCCATACAACCAACTTTTGGTCCAATGTTTGACTGCCAAGAACATAGGTCTAGAAAGTCCTACTAGAGATAATCAAAATCATGTTATCAGTAACTCTAACCAAAATCTTTGCTAAACAGAGTTCTGCAAACAAACTTAACGACTTTCCCAGAAAACATTCCGTGTAGTTGTTTGTTTATTTAAGTTAAAAATGACAAGTCCAGGGGCTGAAGAGATGGCTTAGCAGTTAGCAATGGCTGCTTTTCCAGAGGGCCATCCCAACACCCGCATGGTAGCTTTGTAACTCCAGTTTCTGGTGGTCTGGCCTTTGTAGGCACTAGGCACAAATGTGATGAAAATAAAACTCCCAAACAAAAATGATAATAATAATAATAGCAATAATAATAATAATTAAAGTGACGCTTTTTTCCCAACATCTTAGTGGAGGCTGCAGTGGTCGTCGCCTCTCTCCGAGCTTCATCATGCCGCCTAAGGATGACAAGAAGAAGAAAGATGCCGGGAAGTCGGCCAAGAAAGACAAAGACCCAGTAAACAAGTCTGGTGGCAAGGCCAAAAAGAAGAAGTGGTCCAAAGGCAAAGTTCGTGACAAGCTCAACAATCTAGTCCTGTTTGACAAAGCTACATATGACAAGCTCTGTAAGGAAGTGCCCAATTATAAGCTTATTACTCCAGCTGTGGTCTCTGAGAGACTGAAGATTCCAGGTTCCTTGGCCAGGGCAGCCCTTCAGGAGCTACTTAGTAAAGGACTTAACAAGCTGGTTTCGAAGCACAGAGCTCAAGTGATTTACACCAGAAACACAAAGCGTGGAGATGCCCCAGCTGCTGGTGAAGATGCATAAGCAGGTTCAATCGGCTGTACATTTGGAAAAATAAAGCTTTATTAAATCAAAAAAATAATAATTAAAGTGACAAGTCTAAGGCTCTCATGGTCAGACAGAGAGCATCAGAGGAAATGGGGTGGCTTGGGACCTGGGAGATGCCAGTTAGCTGGCAAAGCACTAAGTATTGCAGGAACTTCCCAGCATCTACAAACATTGCAAACCTGAGTTTTTATATAAAACCTCCCAATGTGTAAATACTAGCAACTGATAAAAACTTTACTATATTGACTGATGCTAGTTTCCAACTATGATCTCTAATTTAAATCTCTCATTTAAACAAAATAGAGAATGAACAACCCTTTTTGTGCTGATTTGGACACTCTCTGATAGTCATTGTATTTTAAGCAAACATTAGAGTGATATAAATTAATTTTTTCTGCATTTTAACAGTCAACAGTCAATGACTAGAATATGAAGACACTGAGAAAAACCGACCTAAGGCAAACAGGCCATAAACCATCAGTGGGTCCTCTTTCCTGGTGCTTGTAAGCATTGCTAGGCTACCCAATGGGTGATTTGGTGCAGAGTAATAAAATGTTTTCAGATTTTGAGAAGACAGGAATTTTTATTCACAGCATTACAAACTGTCTGTACATTATGGAAAATAATTTCCTCCCATACATACTTATGAGTAAAGACTTAGGGGCTTTTACAGACTAAATCTTTAGAATCTGAAGACTTTTTTTCCTATCACTTTCTATGGAAATTGGCCAGTGAAAGCTAAATAGATGCTTTTAGTGGATAACCTTCTCAAATGTTACTTATTTACATTTTAAGCAATCACAATCTCTCATCCCCATCAACAAGACTCAAGATGTTCAGGCAGGCTACAGTTCCATCTGTGGTTTTTTCTTTTGTTTTCTTCTGAGAATCTTCTAGCGTCCAAGTCAGGGAGTGGTAAGCGTATCCTATATTTAGATGAATTTTGAAGGTAGCCATCTTCCTGAGGGCGAGCCTGATTTAGTTAACCAGGGTAATCATTATCAAAGCTAATTTAACAATGATATCCAAAACCTTCCCAGAATTCAAAGTATGAGTAGGTTTTGCTTTTCCTTTTCTTTCCAGATTCATGTTTACTTTTACTTACGTGCATGCTTGTGTGTCTGTGTAAGAGTATATACAACTGAGTACAGTGCTCACAGAGGGCACAAAAAGGTGTTGGATCCCTGAGGCTGGGGGTATGGGTGGTTGTCAGCAGCCCACTGTGGGTGCTGGTACTGAACTTGGGTCCTCTGCGAGAATAGCAAGCACTCTTAAGCACTGAGCCATCTTCCCAGTCTCCTTTTCTCTTAAGTAGCCTTTTTGGTGTTCTGGCAGTGTAGATGACCTGTATATAGGAGTGTGGTGTAGAGATGAAGAGAGTAAGGGAGTGTGGTGTAGAGATGAAGAGAGTAAGGGAGTGTGGTGTAGACATGAGGAGAGTAAGGGACTGTGGTGTAGACATGAAGAGTGTAAGAGGGTGGTGTAGACATGAGGAGAGTAAGGGAGTGTGGTGTAGACATGAGGAGAGTAAGGGAGTGTGGTGTAGACATGAAGAGAGTAAGGGAGTGTGGTGTAGACATGAGGAGTGTAAGGGAGTGTATACAGTGATGATGAGTATAGAGCAGTGGAGTGTAGGTGGGGAATAGATGTGGATCCAACTGCACAGCCTCATCCTAAAGGCATGTATGTTTCTGGTTTGCCCATCAGCTGGACACTTCTGTCAACAGCAGTGACCACATGGAACATCCTGGATCACAAAGGGGAGTGGATATAAACTTCATAAGCAGGAAGAAACAGACCAGCAAACTCAAGAAAAGCAGGTTTTGAAATGACTAGGAAGTTCTTCATGGTCTACAGTCTTCACACATTTACAGGGACTTGTCAACATTCCTTTGCATCAACTAGCAAATGGAGGCTCTGCTTCCTGCTCGCATGCTGTCGGAGGTATCGGTATCGGGAGGGAGGTAAATGTTTTAGCCATTAAGTTTACCAGGGGATGGGGAGATGGCTTAGGGGGTAAAAGTGCCTGCCATACAAGCATGAGAACTTGAGTTCCAATCCGAGGACACCATGTAAAAGCTAGGCATTTACCTCAAACATCTGCCATCCCAGCGCACCTACAGGGGGATGGGAGGTGGAGACAGTAGTGTAAAAACAACAAAGAGCCCTGTCTCGAACATAGTGGAAGGAGAAGGCCTACATCCCAGGCTATCCTGTGACCTCATACAGGTCATGGCATATGCATGCCTGAATCTACACATTCCAATGTGCCCATCACACACACACACACACACACACACACACACACACACACACACAATTTATCAGGATATCTTCAAGAGAGAAAACTACCAAAAGGCCAGCTCATGGAGTAAGTAGGGTATTTTCCAGACTATGGTAATTTCTAGTGACAGTGGCATCTTTCTGAGTAGCTGCTGATGTCCCTTTCTGCTTTGTTTAACTTTAAACTCCTGTGGTGGGGACATGCTTGTAATCCCAGGACTCAGAAGCCAACATAGGCATATCAGAAGTTCAAGGCCAGCCAGGAATTTTTGCAGTCCTTATTATCTATAAGTTCAAGGTTAGCCTAAATTATGTAATGGGCTCCTGTCTCAGAAAAAAGGAAAAAAAAAAGGCTGGGTGTATTGGTGAATACCTCTATTAATTAATATTCATTCCAGCACTTTGGGAGGCAGAGGCAGCTAGATCTCTGTGAGTTCAAGACCAGACTGGTCTACATAGTGAGCACCAGGACAGCCAGTATTATACAGTGAGATTCTATCTGGACAAGAAAGAAGAAAGGAGGAGGAGGAGGAGGAGGAGGAGGAGGAGGGGAAAAGCAAAACAAACTCACAGACTTAAAGGTAAAAAGAGACACTCCCCATCACCTTGCAATGCCCTAATGGCTATGGTCTAAGACTCGACTTGCCTCATGAGCAGACAAATCACCAAGAGCGAAACGGCCAAGCATCTCCTCCTACACGACTCGTTCTGCTTCTGCCGCTGGTGCATTTCTCCACCACACTTGTTACAGCAACGGCACATACAAAAGAAGCAGCCCACCAGGGGCATGAGGATAATGACCAGCAGCCCCAGGGCGGCGCAGATCAGAACTCCGATTTCATAGTAGGCAATCTGCAATGCAAAGGCAAGACACAGCACATGTCACACAAACCAGAAAGAATATTCCACAGGAGTCAGTACCTCAGTACGCATGCATTTACGTGTTTTTCCATTTAGAAGCTCTCTGGGCTGAAGAAAGTGGAGTGCTGAGTTACAGGCCGAGAGTTTAATGTTCCTTTCAATTGCCTGGAAGTTACCTAAGAACAAGGTCAAGTGCGAAGTAGTTTACTTACAACTTCAAAGGGATTTTCTTTTCTAGATGACTTGAAAAATAGCTCTGCATAGAGAGACATGTATGTGCAGGGTACTTTACATCAGGAAGAGAGCAAGTAGAGATTTAAGATTTGAGCCATGTTGGATGGCATTAACTAGTGACAAACTCAACATTCACTAAAGAATCTGAGATATCCTGGGACAAAGGGGCACAGAAATTATGGGAGGAGCCAACTAGTGACTGGTCCAGCTTGAGACCCATACTATGACACTGCCTGGAGGGCCAGGGCCCACCAAACCTTAGACAGAAGTTGGAGATTCTTGTGGAAAAGGGGGAGGGAGGATTATGGGAGCCAGAGGGGCCAAGGACACCACAAGAAAACCCACAGAATCAACTTACCTGAGCTCTTAGGGCTCACAGAGCTCACAAAGACTGAACCACCAAGCTTATATTGAACTGACCTAGGTCCTGAACACAAGCTACAGTTGTGTAGCTTGGCCTTCTTATGGGACTCCTAACAGTGGAAACAGGATGCTTGCTCTGACTGTTACCTGCTTTTGGGACCCTTCCTCCTACTGGATTGCCTCATTCAGCCCTAATAAGGTGGGAGGTGCCTAGTCTTACTGCAACTTGATATGCCATTGCTGGCTAACATATTTGGAAGACCTGGCTTTTTCTGAAGAGAAAGGAGAATTGGATGGTGGGAAGAAGAGGGGAGGTTGGGAGAAGAATAGGGAGGGGAAACTGTGATTGGGTTGCAAAAAAATCAATTAATTAATAAAAATGGGGGAATAAATCCAAAATAAATAAATAAATAAAAGAGTCTAATTTTTTTTAACAAAGCCTAGACATTCTGAGTGACAATATGGCTCTGGGAGTAACAGTATGGCTCTTATCAGGTCATAGTGAAAACTAGAGATAGGTATGATTAAAGAGGAAGTGCCTAGGCAATCACTAGGCACCAGCAAGCAGAGCTCTCTGTGCCTCCCTTGAGGCATGCCTGGTGAGTACAAGGCTTGGAAGCTCATGTCCACACTGGTCCTGAGTTCCCGGGATCCAGCACAGCTTCCATATAGAATCACTAGACCTTATTATATTTTCATTCTCCTTGCTAGTTTGTTCTTGGGTGTACAAGTACATTGTCCTGGAGGATGAAATACTCCCTCATTCCAGTCCAGGCACAAAGTCACTCACATTTCTCTTCTTTGTTTGCTCACTCTCCCGCTGTTTTGTTTTTAAGACAAAGTTCCCCGGATCCCAGGCTGGTCTCACTAGTAATGAATATTGCTCCGGCCTCCACCTCCTGGGCACTTCAATTAACAGATATGTGTCCCCATGCCTAGTTTCTGAGGATGGAACCCATGGATTCATGAACGCCAGGCAAGCACTCTACCAACTGAGCTACACCCTCAGTCCTAAAGTCCCTCAGATTTCTAAAGAATGGCGATAAACCACGGTTGACACTCGATGAAAAAGCAGGACAGCAGTGGTTGATGTAGGAGCTAAGATGAAGAGAGAAACAAACCAGGAGCCTTGTCTTGCAGGCCTGCACTGAGCCTTGATCTCACATCCAACTTCCTGTTTAACCACCTCACCTTATCTCCCCACAATCAGACGGTGTATGTTTTCCTGCATTGCCGCGAGTGTGGCAATCAAAAAGAGAACTTAGGGCCACCACTCCCTCCAGCCTGTCCACTGTGTAATACAGCAGTGACAAAAAGCAGCCAGAGAAAACATGACCTTTGCTCTTGAAATCTGCACAGAACAAAAGGCGTCTCCTGGTAGAAGATTGTGATCACGCGTACCCTCTGGCCACCTGTTGTGGGGAGCTGCCCACCAGTCAGTGAACTCTCATTGGCTGCCCCATGATCACTCCTAAATTTCCAGAAAAAGGAACTTGGTGACAAACCTGACATCCTCCCAACTAGCTGACTGTCAACCATTGCCTTCCTTGCCTCAATGCCACCGGTCTCTTCTCTTATATGGCATGCTGTACAGACAGCAGCTTTATTGAGGTCTGACAACAATGCCAGAAGCGAATGTGATGGCTTGGTAGAGAGCACAAAAACTGAAAGTTGATTACTGGGAGCTCCTGGTCCCCTTATACTAGGAAAGTGTCCATCAACATAATGAGCCCCCTCCCAGGGCAAGAGGGGTGAACAATCATGGATTCAAAGTGAAGACAACAGCTCACAGTCAATACTCAATAGATAGCAATTAACTCCAGGCGAGCACTCAGGTGTGAACCAGGGTACACCTGACACTTGAATACTGTCCACTTCAATAGTAAAGTTAAAATGCTAAGAAAAAAAAAAAGCAAGGGAAGTTGCCGAGGATGCAAATATGTGTGTCCTTTTGCCTGTCTACAAACACCCATTACTGACTATTTAGCATTTCCTTGAGGACTAATATCATGAGCCAATTAAGAAATCAGCCTAAACACTACAAATTCTCACATACTTACACATTTTGCTACCATTTTTCAGCAAACAAAATTATTTAATACTTAAAGGAATTTAAATATTTTCTGAATCCCATAACTAATAAGATATATTGAGATATTTATAGTGCACTAGTTTATTTGGTGTGGGGGAGAGTATGGGGAAAGGGATGACTGAGTGAGCATAGTTAATGGGTACGGGGGTACAGTGGGAGGGGAAGAATGGCATTTAACAGAGAGTAACTCTGGTGACAACAATGAATTGGGTATTCCAAGCTAGCTAGTGCATTAGTTTTAAATTTAGGAAAAAAGTTTATGTTATATACAAACCTTCCCAATGTTACTGACTAAACACCAGACAGTGCTAATAAATGAACTTAGAGCCTTACACATCAGAGGGGTGAGTGCTTTATCACTAATCTATATTTCCAGCACTAGGATGTTATCAGATTTGATTTCTAAGCCACAGGATTTAGCAATTGTAAATTAATTTTGATGGGTCAAGCTCTTTGAGCACATGTAGATTTTGACATCAGACAAAGGAAAGATTAAATATGACAGCTGAGACAAAGACAAAACAAATAATATAAACACTACCACAGGGGTGACAGAAGGTGTTGACAGAGACAACACTACTCATCCACTTCAGACAAACAACACTATAGCACAGACAGTAGGCATGCAGTTTACCTTCAAAGCCAAGACTATGCTTTCTGGCTGTGGAAATCAAAGCAGTTGAGGAGTTTGTGTGTAGCAGAGGCAGCATGCATTAAAATAAAACAGAAAAGTCACATAAGTCATTAACCATAACCATATTCCACATTGGAAAAAATCAAAATGGAAGGCTCAACATGAAGAAGGAATATAGATTTGAGTGTATATTTGAGAATTAGTGTTTTGATTGGAGTCAAGATACAGAATTCATATTTGGGTTTTTGAAAGGTTCAAAGTCAATATGGCCATCAATTAAGGAAAAGGGAATCACAGGGCAGTTATAGATGCTAACAAGCTTGCTACATGATCTTCATAAAGCAGATTATGAGGCTGCTTATAGTCTAAAAACCAAAATATCCCCTCTAGAATGAAATATGAAAGTGTTATTCCCTTGTTTAATAACATCCAATGAAGTTCTGCTATTTCTTTCTTCTCTCCTCTCTCTTTTGTTTTGTTTTTGGAGACAGGATTTCTCTGTGTAGTCCTAGTTTTCCTGGAACTTGCTTTGCAGACCAGACTGGTCTTAAACTCACAGAGATCAGCCTGCCTCTGCCTACTGAGTGCTGTGATTAGAGGTTTGCCATTTCTAATGCAAACTTCCCATCATGGTCCTTTAGTTTCAAGTCCTCATTCTTCTTGGCCATTCTAAGTTGTCTGTTGTCACTCTGTCAAATCATTTCCTCTCTTGCCTCCTCACTCTGACTGCCCAGATTGCCTCCCTACTCAGGCCATCCAACACTCCCTAAATGAAATTCAAGTTTAAACATAGATGCTGCCTCCTCCAGGAAGTCTGGACATTGTATATCTTCTTTCCAACTACCCCGTAGTTCTGAACTTGCCATTTGAAATAACATACTCTACCTAGAAGAAATAGCTGCCATATAGCCACCTCCTGTCATACCACCTCCTGGCGAGCAAGCCCCACATACAACCAAAACTAAACCAACTGATGTACTAATGAAATAAAAGCCACAACCCAAAACCAGAGATTCTTCAGTGTGGTCCAGAGATGGGGGACCAGTCAGTCGGTGATGGTGATGGGTGATGAAGATGAGCCAACCCACAATGATGAGAGGAAAATAGAGCATATCTCAGTGAATTCTTCCTTAAGCTAAATTTTCTCAATTTATAAGCCTATCCTTTTTTGTGGGGAACACTAAAATAAATTGAGCTGGCTCTGTCAGTCTTCATTTCACTGTTTTGAAGTTTTCTGGTTTGGACATCTGAATGTATGCAAACTGTTCCTTGCCTGGGGTGGAGCTTCATGGCTTTGAAAGAATGATATGCATGATTATAATAATTTTTAAATGAAGTGCTGAAAATATTTGGGGTTGGGGACATTTCAGATACACATGTCCCTAAGGGTCACCTGAACATCCTGACAGTCCCATTCTGTCTTCCTGGGTGAGTCTACATGCTTGATACCACTCACAACTTTGAGTTCCATGCCTGCCAACCATTAGAACCTCCCAGTGTAACTAATTTCCAAGCTCCTCTCCCCTTATAGTACATAACTGGGGAAGACCAGTTATCTATTTTAAGGGAGCACTCATGGGATGGCTACAGATGACCACTTTGGAGAAATCTATCCTCACTTGGTTATTGTGGCTGGTCACATTGTATGTAGGAAGGTCATTCTACTCAATAACACCACCACCAATAAATCCAAAACAAACAAGAACCAAAAATCAATGGTCATTAATATCCCTCAATATCAACAGTCTCAACTTGCCTATGAAAAGACACAGACTAAAAGAATGGGTACGAAGACAGAACCCATCCTTATGCTGCATACAAAAAACATATCTCAATGTCAAAGACAGACATTACCTCAGAGTAAAGGGTTGGAAAAAGATTTTCCAATCAAACGGACCCAAGAAACAAGCTGGTATAGCAATCTTAGTATCTAGCAAATTAGGCTTCAAATTAAAATCAATCAAAAGAGATGAAGAAGGACATTTCATGTTCAAAGGAAAAGTCCATCAAGATGAAGTCTCAATTCTGAATATCTAGACCCCAAATACAAAGGCACACACATTCTTAAAAGAAACATTACTAAAGCTCAAATCACACACATAAAATCTCACACACTAGTGATAGAAGACTTCAACACTTCACTCTCACCACTAGACAGGACCTCCAGACAGAAACTTAACAAAGAAAAAAAAAAGAGATAACAGAAGTTATGACCCAATTGGGTTAAACAGACATCTATAGAACATTCCATCCAAACACAAAAGAATGTACCTTCTTCTCAGCAACACATGGAATCTTCTCTAAAAATCGACCACATAATCAGAAACACAGAAAACCTCCACAGATACAAAAAAAATTGAATAACCCCCTGTATCTTATCAGACCACCATGCTTTAAAATTAGAATTCAACAACCCTACAAACTCATGGAAATAGAACAATTTGCAATCGCACCATCCCTGGGTCATGAAAGAAATAAAAAAAGAAATTAAAGACTTCCTGGAATCCAATGAGAATGAAGACACAACATACCCAAACTTATGGGACACTCTGAAAGCAGTGCTGAGAGAAAAGTTCATAGCATTAAGTGCCCACATGAAGAAACTGGAGAATAGTCACACTAGAAAATAAATAGCACAACTGAAAGCTCTAGAATAAAAACAAGCAAACTCTCCCACGAGGCGTAGACACAGGAAATAATCAAATTGAGGGTTGAAATCAATAAAGTAGAAACCAGGAAAACATTGCAAAGAATCAATGAAACAAAAAGTTGGTTCTTTGAGAAAATCAACAAGATAGACAAACCTTTGTCCAAACTAACCAAAAAGCAGAGAGAGAGAGCCTGCTAATTAACAAAATCAGAAATGAAAAGGAGGACATAACAATGAACACTGAGGAAATCCAGAGAATCATCAGGTCATACTTTGAAAACCTATATTCCACAAAATTCGCAAATCTAAAGGAAATGGACAATTTTCGGAATAGATATCACTTGCCAAAACTAAATGAAGAACAGATAGGCAATCTAAGCAGACCTATAATCCCTAATGAAATAGAGGCAGTCATCAAAAGTCTCCCAACCAAAAAAAAAAAAAAAAAAAAAAAAAGCCCAGGCACAGATGCCTTCAGTGCAGTATTCTACCAGAAATTCAAAGAAGAGCTAATTCCAATACTCCTCAAAGTGTTCCACACAACAGAAGCAGAGGTTCACTGCCAAACTCTTTTTACGAGGCTACAATTACCTTGGGGCTCAAGCCACACAAAGACACAACTAAGAAAGAGAACTACAGACCAATTTCCCTCATGAACATTTTTGCAAAAATACTCTATAAAATACTAGCAAGTCGAACGCAAGCTATAGCAAAAGGCTAATTCTTTTGTAATTTCTCTAGCCCAAGAGTCAGCCTATTTGACAGGGCAACAACAAACACCCCCATAGACTTGAGTGGGTGAATTTTTAGTGGTCTCTTTCCAAATGAACAGTTGTACAGGATAAATTCATTTCTATGCTATACAGAAGTTAAAACCTTGGTTCCACACCTTGGTGTCCTATTATTCTCTACTTAGTTGCCCATTATAACCATCTAGGGAGCTTTTAAAAGACCAGTAACCAGCCCACCCTGAAGAACAATATCAAAATCTCTAGGGAACACCCATGGTATTGCTACTAATGCCACACTAAGTCTCAGTTACCTTATTCATAGGATAAACAGAGAGTAGTACCTGACAATGCATTTGCAAAAACTAGGAGGGAAATGGCAGCAAGTGGCACGAGGGTTACTCTGCCATCAATGCTTCTTCATGTTTCAGATGAGCTGATACTCATGACGGATACTGACCAGAGCCTATTACAGACAGTAAAATCCAATGATTCCTGCAACCTAAATGCCCTCCAAGATCCCTGGAGTGTGCTTTCTTCGTGCAGCTGCATCTACCTACAAGGTCTGAACTCATTAGCTGATCGGGACAGTGGACACTCATATTCAGACTTGTTCTGGCATCTCAATGTTCTGCTGGCACCATTCTCAGAGCAGAACAGGAAAGAGCAGCATGCCCTACTCACCTCACTGAGGGCTAAGAACACGGCAAACACAGTTCCCTGGTGTTTATCACCGTACACCCACCACACAAAGATCTGTCTGCATGTTTCCCGGGCTCTACACTTGCAGTAAACCAAAATCAAAATCAGTTCTGTTTAGAAGTAAAGAGAGCGGATCAGCAGGGCCCCGTAGGCTGGACAGAGATCAGTGTGATCCCTTGGTGCTCTCTGCAAGCCCTGACCTCTCGCCTCCTATTACCTGGGCTGTGGCACTTTTCTCTGTCTCTGGACTAACTGCTCATCACGTCCATGCTTGACTTCAGTGATCACCTGGTCCCCAGCACTTCCAAAGCCGCCACCTACCCAGCCCACCCCCTTGTCTGCTCCACTTCTGCCAGAGTTACTACTTGTAGTCAGGGCTTCTGCTCAGAATTTCTTGATTTTTTTTCTGTTTCTTTGCATGTTGCTTCAGACCAGCTTATTTCCTTATTGCCCTTTGCCCTGAAACCATAAGGTCCTGCTGGGGCTTGTTCAAGAACAACCTCCCTTATCTCCACCATTCCTCTAACTCAAGCCTTGTGCGCACCTTGCAGCTGCTCAGCAAACCCAGCAGTGAGCACAGGAGAGAGCAGCTGTGGAGCCTCCTGTCCTCAAGAACAACCTCCTGCCATTGCATTTAGCGTCTAAGAGTTCTCAAGCATTCCTGCTTAGGGAGATTCCTTCCCTTAGCTAAACATCAAGAAAAACCTGTCCTCAAGAACAGCCTCCTGCCATTGCATTTAGCGTCTAAGAGTTCTCAAGCATTTCTGCTTAGGGAGATTCCCTCCTTTAGCTAAACATCAAGACAAAACCAAAAACCCCTTAGTATTTCTCCTCAGGAAATTTTTGAATGAAACGTTGTGTGTTTTTCCTCAACCACCAATTTTGAAATTTATGCTGCCACTCAAATGGGACCTATAAAATAAGGCAATATTCCATAAAAATCCTTAGTCAGAAGAGTTAGCAAATTAAAGATACAATAATGTTTTTTTTAAAGCCTACATTCAGGACAGGCATCATTTTCCTCATATTTACTACTTTTAATAATGAGTAACAATAAAACGTTACCTCCTTTGAATCAACTGAGAAGTCAAAATTCTTCTGTATGATTTTTCTGACCATTTCTGTAAAGAAAAAAACACAAAATAGCAAAAATTATTTTATTGGTAAAAGGATACAGTGTATAGTCTATTAAGCCCTTATAAATTATTTTATATGGACATAGCATCCTTATAATGATAGTCCTATTTCCTAAGCTAGGTAAATAATTAAACTAATGAGCCTAACATTACACTGAGGTTGCTAATTTCCCTTTGCATTTATTTTTTGAGGGTAGGAGAGGTGCACAGTATGGACAAGGCCTGGGGCTCTACCCATCAACAGCACACTGTGGAGGTCACAGGACCATTTGCAAGAGTCAGTTCCCTCTTTCCACCAGCATGAGCTCTGGGGATCACACTTGTGTCATTGGGCTTGGTGGCAAGTGCCCCTACCCACAGAACCATCCCACTGGCCCTGAAGTTGCTAGTTTTTATTTGTAACCACAAATACAAGTTATTTCCAGCATTTGCAATATTTACAAATGAGTCTTAAAAGCCAGCCTGATCTGAGAGTTGTTAACATGAGAAATTCCTCCTCCTGTCTCCAAGCAATGTGTGATAATTGGGGAACACTGTGGAAAATTTTTCACTTTTCCATAAATTCTCATTTGGGGGCATTTTCCAGCAACAAGTTCTGGACAAGAACCAGGGCTTTCTCAGATGATCCACCAAGGCATGATTTGAGGCAATTGATGCTCAGACAATGAGGGACTGGGAATCCTATGTGGGACAAAGAATCCCAGTGCAAGTCAGGGCAGGGCAAGATCTCCCTTTTAGACAGGCTTTTTCCCATCCCATCACAATGCCCACTATCCCTCATGCCCAACTGAGCTTTGGGGCTCTGCCTGTTGCCTCACACTGACCTGTACCAGCCCCTAACTGCTTTACCAGCAGTCAGCTATTAGCCACCTTTTCATGCAATACCATTTTTTGTTGTTGAAAGAAAGACTGTTCTGGCAAACCATTTGCTCTGATTTGGGCATCTTACAGATATTTTGATGGATACAGCCTACAGCTTCAAAAAAAAAAAAAACTAATGACAGAACAGGTTAACAGTGATAAAATTGAGCTTTGAAGCCAAACTGGAGTTTTTTAAAACTCCCTATAGTTGAAAGGTTTCCTCTGTCTCACCCAGTCCCACTGGACCTGTTTCTTTCCCATCCTGCAGTCATTTATGAAATAATCACTCAGAGGCTAGTATTAAATATAATTGCTTGGCTGATGGCTCAGACTGGCTAGCTCTCACAATTCAAATTAATCCATATTTACTAGTCTGTGTATTACCACATGGCTGTGGCTTACCAGTAATATTCTGGCATCGCATGTCTATGGCAGATACAAATCATCTCCTGACTCTGTCTTCTTTTTCTCCATAACTCTGTTTGGAATTCCTGCCTAGATATTGGCCAAAACAGCTTTATTCATCAATCAATAAAAGCAACACATACTTGCAGCACACAGAAGGACATCCCACATCAACTATTATTAGTAGATATAACAAAAATGAAGTGTGTTGGGATAAAGAGATGACTCAGCAGTTAAGAGCACTGGCTGCTCCTGTAGAGGAACTTGGTTCAATTCATAGCATGCGCAATGCCGGTTCACAACTCCAAGGGATCCAATGCCTCCATGTCAGTAAGTGGAGGCATCCATGGGCACATAAGTAGTTTTTAAATGAGACATGTCAATATCAGAAGACCTGAAATACTCAGTAAATCACACTTCAGATGAAAATATAAGCGGTTATAAAGCCTTTTGTGGCAAAGTGGAAGATGGACCAACGGATTTGAATACATTAAAGCAGGAAAAGTTAATTTACATCCCATACTGAAAACAGCCTTAAAAGATGAGCACTTATGCCAGGCGGTGGTAATTAATGCATACCTTTAATCCCAGCACTCAAGAAGCAGAAGCAGGCGGATCTCTGTGAGTTTGAGCCAGTCTAGTCTACAAAGCTACACAGAGAAATCCTGTCTCGAAAAACCAAAAAATAAAAGATGAGCACTTACCAGTTTGGGTAATGTCAAAGAAAATACCCAGAATCACAGACAGAGACTCTTTTGTTACACATCTTTGCATAGCCAGACACCCACACTGTCTTCAACCAAAGCCATGTACTGCGACAGACTGAGCTATAACAGAGACGCAAGAAAGTGGCTGACTCCCACTAAGCCAGTGGTTAAAGAGATTTGAAAAAAATGTAGAAGCCAATGTCATTCTCCTCACTTTTTAATTGTTACATGTGAAAAGTTGGACATTTTGGTTTGGTTGGTTGTTTTGGAGTTTTTGAGAGAGTGTTACTGTACAGAGCAGACCTGCCTTACAATCATGAGAATCCTCTTGCACTAGCCCACCCTCACCCATGCTGGGTTTACAGGTATACGAACCATGAGTGGTTTGGGAGGAATTCGTTATCCTTCCTTTTAAATTAATTAGCAAATGAAAGTTAAGAATTCTCCAATCTAGTTCCAAACTTGATGAGTATGGATAATTACAAACAGGAGCCTCTTGGTGAACCAAAATAACTGTTAAATAGTTATTTGTCTCCTCAAAGTGTTGGGGCTTCTGAGTTGAGCAGTCTGCATCCCAGCCTTGTGTCAAAGCAATTGCTTTGAACCTCAATCCAGCTAGCTGTAGTCAGTAAGCCACGCTATCGCCTCCCTGTTTCTATGGTGGGATGGAGGTCAGAAGCCACCATCACAATCTGCAAGGCAAGAGACTAAGAAGCACCACTGGAAAAATGTGCCAAATGTGTCCTGAGGACACCCGGAAGTTAGACTTTGGGCATATTTCTAGAACTTGTATATGGAGAAGGAGGTGATGATTCACACTAGAAGCATCACCAAGCAGGGGCAGCCTGCTCTCACCCTCAAGATTCTTTCTTTTCCCTAACTGACCTTTTTTTCTATACACATACAGGTTCTGTCTCAAGCTGGGCCCAGGGAAACTCTCCTGCACTACTCCCTTGTAGAGTGCATGGGGAACTTCAAAGACACCATTGCGTGCTGTTGATGCATCAGGCTTACGATGAGCTTAAGTGCTCTTAGATTTTGCTGACAGGATCTGTAAGTCAATACTCTTGGGCTCTTATGGTATCACGCATCTCTGTGAAGAGGCAGAGCCCCTATTTGCCTTCAGTGCCGCTGTCTTAACACTCATGGTTCAAGGGTCCCCCCAGGCTCTCAGCTAAGAAACTGCAGTGTTAACTTGTGTGCTAAACCATCGCTGATCAAAGGGAAAACCTTATTTGTACTTCACTGTAAGTATCCATTTTATAAAGAGAATACAGTGATATTCAAGTCCAATGTAAAGATCTAAAAACAGTAGAATTGTAAATGTGCCCTATTTTCTAAAACATGATATTTCTTTGCAGGCAGAAAACCTTCACACGGGCACTTAAAAAATTTAACATTTTGCTCCCATCCAGGCCAAATTCCAGAGAGATGAGAGATGAGACCAGATGGGTAAGTCAAGTACTTGAGTACAGACACAGATCTAGGCTGTCCAAAAGTTAATGCAGCCATGCTTCCAGGCACAAGCCTATAATTCTAAATTCTCAAGAAGTTGAGGCAGGAGGATCACCAGTTCAAAGCCTACTTAGACAATGAGAAAATTCAAAGCTAAACTAGGAAAGTTTTGGAGACATTGTCTCAAAGTAAAAACTACAAACAGGGGAGGGGGGCTGAGAATATAGCTCAGGGCAGAACACCTGTCCATCATGCATAAGGCTGTCTAATGTGCAGTCCTGGGAGAATCATTATTTCTCTCAGAAGATGGTGTATGCTGATGTTCCGCATGCAGACCTAAATGACGCCAACAGAGCAGCACAAACGCAAAACTAAGGCTTCAAAAGTCATCTTCACTCAGGATCCAAACTCATGAATCATAAAAAGTATGCATAAAAATCCATTGAAAACCATAAACATTACTTTAAAGATTAGTTATAAAATATTCCTCACACCTGCTTCTCATTCCTGTATCTTCAAAGCTCCAAGAAGCTGCACCCCATCCCTGGCAGCCTCATAAATGCATACACCTTCTAAAGCTTTTCTACCACCAAATAGATTTTCCTGATCTACAAAATGCATGTTCATAACCAGAATAAACCACCGATTCAAGTATGTGTGTGCTGCTCAATATTTAACAGTGTTACCCTGGGAAGATGGTGATTGAGGCTAACCGGATTCTGACTTCATTTCCAAGAGTTACATGGACGAAATGATCCATAAGACGAGTTATGAGACCCACCTGGCTCTTTCTAAAGGAGAATGCAGGCTGAAGTCAAGACAGAGCCAACTGGTGCAAACATAAATCGCTGCGTGGCTTATGCATGGTTACTAGCAAGTCCTTCAGAGCCTCCCTGGGGAAAGGATCTTGGATTGCTGCAAAAGTAATTCAATGCAGTTCTCTTCTGTCTTCTCACTATCCATCACAGCTTGCTAGGTTCATTGTTCATGTTTGTTGATGCTTTTCCTGACTCAGAGTTCTAAAATGAAAACTCCCAACAGGAAAATATCCCATTGCTCAAAACAAATACAGAACTTTCTGATTAGTTGAATAGGTTGCTTAAGTCAATTGATTGCTCAAAAATCTTTAACTTTTCATTCAGTCAGTATAGATGTGACTAGTCCTGGTAACTGACAGGCTCACTGCAAAACAAGTGAATCACACCCTAGAATTTTAGTTTGCTTTGTTTTGATTCTCAAGACAGTTTCTCTATGTAACAGTCCTGGCTGTCCTGGAACTCGCTTTGTAGACCAGGCTGGCCTGGAACTCATAGAGTTACACCTATCTCGGCCTCCTGAGTACTGGGACTAAAGGTGTGTGCTGCCATTGTCCAACCACACACTAGAATTTTAACTTAAGGCATGTATATATGTATGCATATTCATTGCTCATCATTTCATGCAGTGAATCCTTTTCCAAAAGAATCACTGGGGGGATGATCAGATAGCACCTATGGGAGTAGGGTGATGTCTCAGTGGGCAATGGACTTTGGATCGCCACAGTAGTGTGTCTGTAAT